ATTCATGGCGGTTCCTACACCAGCCTGTGCACTTCCTTCTCTGCTGCCCACCAAGGCTGCAACACCAGATAAGCCAGAGAAAGGCACTCATGCTTTCCCTACTTCTCTCACCTCCAGATGGCTCTAGCTCTAGCTCTATCTCCAAAACCTGTCCTTCTGCTGGTTGGTAGTGAGTACATTGGAAAGAATTGTGAAGTCTTGTCTAGGTGCATTGAAGAAAAGTAATTGTGATCAATTAGCAATGTCTGCCCCAAGTTCAGCAATGCAGAGTGTGGGTAGGTGTGATTTAAACTGCTGCCCACAACTCCCAGCGCCTGTTACGCTCCGATCAACCTGAGCTGCAAAGGTCTGGTGCTGTCTCATGGCTGAAAGATGTCATCATAAGCCAGATCTGAGTTGTGATGTGCTGGCAAATGTATAACAACCAGCTCTCCCCCGCCCCCATGGGGTGGGAACGCTTTATAGCTTTTGCTAATTTCTGTGGTGAGAATATTCCCACTATGTCCAATTTGCAGCTTCCACTGTGAAGTAACTGAGCACCAATTTAGGAAGAGATGGGCACAATCGACTTGTGCAAGACTGTACCCATTTGTTACCACTCCAAGCTCTGCTAATGAGGGACTGCCCTGGAAAGAGCACTGGTCTGGAATTCAGGGTCACTTCCCAGCCATGCACCATTGGCAAGTTACATCCTCTGCCAGCCTGTCTCCTCATCTACAAAGTGAGGTTTGGCTGTGATGCGCCATGATGTGAGGAAATGTTTGTCCCTCACCAAGCGTGAGTTGTCACACTTGCTCCCAGTGCATCAAATCCAAATCACTGCTCTGCCCCAGCAATTGGCCTCAACCCTCCCTGACAGCCAGGGTTTGGGCCCCAGGGCTACAAGAGAGAAGGCTTGGTTGTGCCTTTTGATGTTGACTTCAAAGACCAGACACTGTCTCAAAGTTCACATAGCTTCCCTGCCACTGGCAGCTGTCAATGACAACCTTTGGCCACTCCTCTGATTTCCACAATGGTGCCTCCTTCTGGTTTTGGGGTTGTGGTCCTGGAGACCAACCTGTGTCCATGCTGTAGCAGCCCAAGGTCTGGATCTGAGAGTCAACCCAGGCATCCATTGGCTCCATAACCCTGCACTCTCTGGGCCTCAGCCTTTTCATCTGTAGAATGGGAACAGCAATCATAGTAGCTACTTCATTGGGTTCTTGGACAATCAGAATAGAGTAGGTACTTAAAATTCCTTGCACAGTGTCAGGCACAGAGCAAAGACTCAAAATGTAAATTATGATTTGTCCTAACAAATTTTGGAGTGGAGGCAGAATAAGCAACACTGTAAAAGAATGGGATCCCAAATGTTGACCCATCATAGCTCAAGTAAGGGCCTCAACAAAGGGGTGTAGGCAGGAGGTGGAGTTGCAAGACCTGTAGTGTCCCCTTGGTCCAGTGCAAGGTTTCTCATCCTCAGTACTGTTGATATTCAGTGCCAGATGTCTCTGTTGTCAGGAGCTCTGTGCATGATCTATTTAGCAGCATCCCTGGTCTGTACCCACCTGGAGCAGCCTCCCAGTTGTAACTCAAAAATGTCTCTAGACATTGTCAATGGTCCCCTAGATGAGAACCCTTGTTCCATGGGAGGAAGTGACCCATCCTGTCAGTCACCCAAGGTCCCAGGAGAGCCCAGGAGAAGAGCATCTGTCCTGAAGAGATGGGTGGGTTGGACACGTGACAGCCAAGTGCCAGGTGGTCAGCTGCGGGCAGCCTGGCAGCAGCCCTAGGAAGCATGTGGGTCAGGGCTTGGACCCCAGCTGCTGGGAGCCAGCAGTCAAGCAGGGCCAGAATGCAGCTCATGTGACCTTTAGCCCAGAGCAATGCTGTGACTATTCCCCCTGCCTAGGACCAGGACTGGATCCAAGGACTGGGTAGGACTAGGCAGGCAGCCCCTTCCACCCTTGAGGATCTTCATGACCACAGACTGGAGAGCACAGGCTTCAGAGAAAGAGGCCAAGTTCAAATCTAGGCTCTGTCATATTTGAAATTGAACCTAAAAAAAATTTCTCAAAGCAGGTATTAAACCAGCATGGTGGCACATGCCTGAAATCCCAGCACTCTGGTAGACTGAGGTAGGAAGATCACAAGTTTGAGTCCAGCCTGGGAAACAGTGACCTAGCAAGACCTGATCTCAAAATTAAAAAAAAAATTTTAAGGCCTGGGGATATAGCTCAGTGTGAAAGCCCTGGGTCCAATCCCCAGTGCAGCAAAAATAATATAGAAATAATATAGCATAAAATTTTTTAAAATGCTGCTTTGGGCAAGTTGCTTAACCTCTAAGGCTCAGACTCCCCATCTGTGAAATGGGGCCAACTTCACAAGGTTGTTGTAAGGGTTAACGTAGTATTTTTTTTTTTTTTTTTTTGGTACCGGGGATCCAACTCGGATCCTTGCGCTTGTGAGGCAGGCGCTGGAACCACTGAGCTAAATCCCCGGCCCCGGGTTAATGTAGTATTAAAGATACCTTACTTAGCACTATACTTGCCACATAATAGGCACTCAGTAAATGTTGAATAAATGAATGAATGCTCTTACAACAAATTTTCCTCCCCCAAATCTCATGTTCAGTTCAATTCTCCAGAAATGCGCCACATTTCTCATTGGGGCTCAGTATTGCATCTGCTAGATGATGGATGCTTCCAAAATTAAGCTTTCTTTCCTCAAAGGGCAATGACTCGTCATTCATCTTTCTATAGCCCATAGCCCAACACAGTAACTGACACTCAGTAAGCATTCCTTAAGTTTGTTGAATGAATGAATGAATGAACGAATGAACACACAAAAAAGACATTGAAAAAGGGCATACCCAGAATTCTGGCTGCCTCAGAATTCTTCATAGAGTCCTTTCCTGCATGGCCATTTAGGAGGAGCACAGCTGCCTTACTCAGAGGAGATGGGTCACACCCTTGGGTGGCAGAACAGCAGGAAGCTGGTGGATGACAGATATGATCAAGAAGGTCTCACGCTGGGTAGCTTCTGTAGACCTGCCCTGGGCCCTCAGGCTTCTCTGGTGGCTAGGACAGTCTTCCTAACTCTCCCTGCTCCTGGAAAAGACTGCTCCCAAGGCCCCAGCAGGCCCAGATGAGAGGTTTTGAGGACAGATAGAGGCACAGTGGCCAGACATGACAGGCATCCAAACAGAGGTCTGGAGCACAAGGTCTGAAGGCAGTTTTGGGGCAGGCTGTGTTGCTCTTTGAGTGACAGGCATAGGAGACGCACTGCAGTGATGGGGTTAAGAGCTCTGTCTGGGTCCTGTCGGACTCACTCAAGTTTTCCCTGCCTCAGTTTCCTCATCCACAAAGTAGGGACATTAGAACCAACTTCATAATAGAAAACATTTAGAATTGTGTGTGGCACCTAGTGAGGACTTGGTGGAAAGTGCAGTGATAATGGTGATGTGAAACCCATCAAAGTCTGCAGGAGAATGAGTATCCCCCAGGCTGGACCCAGAAAACTGCTCTCCTGTGGAGCCTGCCTAAGTCCTGTGTCTGCTACCTGTGCAGCTGAGACTGCTATCTGCAGCACAACCGTTGCCAGGGCTCTGGCCAGCGTCACAGGGTTTTCCCCAGAGCATCTGCCCTCCAGGTGGCTGAACCATCTCAAATCGCCACAGGCTGAACTTTGTCACCAGCCTCCTTCTCATGTCTGGGAGGACGTGTGCCCTGGCAGGAGGCATGACTTTCCAGCTGGGCTGGTCCTGCCAGCAGACTGGCCTTGGGAGATGGTTGCAGGTTCTTGGGACATTCCCCTGCCCTTCAGCCTGATGGGTCCCAGATGCTCCCCTGCCCCTCCCCAGCTGTTCTGGAACCCTGGATACAGATTACCCACCAACCTCGGGCTTCCCAGCCTGCACCACACCTCTTGGTCTTCTCTTGTTTTTAATTCAAAACTCTTTGTTCCACTTTCACATGACAGCCTGCAAGAGGTCAGCATGAGATAGGCTGTTTCCTCCTGGATGGCCACCAGGACAGGGATGAGGGCAAATGCAGGAGGAGAGGAGGAAGCCGGCTTTGGGAATGTGAGGAGCAATGGGAACATTAAACATCTTTAATGGCTGAGTTTAAGAGTGGCTCCTGGGGCGACATGGCCAGGTCACCAGGGGCTGGGCAGACACACAAGCCCAGCTGGGAACCCCAGGGGTCCTGAGAGTCCATGGCTCCTGTCCCGCAGAAGTGCCTCTGGCTCCCTATCTTCCCACTGCTCCTTTCTCCACCACCCCAGGCCCACTCCCCTTGCTCCTCCCTGCAACGCTTGGGTTTGTCTTTCTTGGCCCTTGCCAGTAATGAGATAGGTCTGCCGTGAGGGCCACAGGCTGTAGGAGGGAAAAAGAAGGAGGGAGGGAAGAGAGAGGCTTGCAGGGAGAGCTGGGCCCGAGGCCGAGTGGTGGGCGTTGAGAAAGCAGCAGTGGGCAGCAGACCCAGGAGGGCGAGACGCCTGAGTCACCACTTAACAGAAACCAGGGCAGGCGATAGACATCAGATGGGACCGCAGGAGAAGCCTCCCCCACCCTGCTCCTTCCTGCTTGTTTTCCATTGCGTGTCCTGGGAAGCTTGCACAGACAACAAACAGGCTGACAATCCTGGTCTCCTTGGGTTGTCATTGGGACCTCTCCAGTGTGCTTTGGCGCCCTGTGCCATACTGTGTAGAACATGAATTTGGGCAAGTCTCCAAGAGCCCATTTTGTGGGGTGTGAAGCTCAGATGTGGGAACCACAATCAGTCACCCTGCAGGGCCCAGACGGAGTGGGTTTCTTATCCAGTGATGGAAACATGGAGATGAAGTAAAGGGGGAAGAGATTAGATTGGTGAAAGTGAGCTAGGAAAACACCAACTTCGAAGCCCGCATGGAAACTCCTCCTCCCAGGGGCTCTTGGATACTGCTTTTATGGCGGTCTCCCCACTGCCCTGTGCTGACAGCAGCAACACTGACCCAGGCATTTTCTCTTTCTCTTGCAGGACCTCCTGTAAGTATCACGCTGGAGCAGTTGCGTGTGTCTGAAAAGCCCATGTCATCTACTGGTAAAGGGTGCTGGGAGGCTGCTGAGAGCAGCCCCTTGAGATCTTCTGGGGCCCTGTGTAGACTGCTTCTTTGTCCACAGAGGGAAGGAGACCACTATTTTGTCTACCTACACCTCTGCAGAGAAACACAGTGATTGTCCCAAGACAGAGCAGGCCCTAATTTCATTCTGCAAGGTTGGTTCGCCCCTGGTTTGACCAGCTCCTCTCTCTGTGCCCCAGAGAAGCACCTGGAGTTGAGAAAGCAGAAAGTACTAGAAAGAGGAAAGATTCTGGGCTGGGGATTTAGCTCTGTGGTGCTGGTGCCTGCCTTGCAAGCGCAAGGTCCTGAGTTTGATCCCCGGTACAAAAAAAAAAAAAAGAGGAAAGATTGTGTTGAAAGATTATTTCCCTCTGTCCTGCTCCTTAAAACATTCCTCAGAAAGCCAGTCATGGAGCGGCCCCAAGTGTAGACAGCCCAGGAGTCCCTGACTTCCACACCTTGGAGTGGGCAGCTCCATCCTGCCCGAGTCACTTGGGGCAGGTGGAGCTGGTGGTGCCAGTTGTGTGCAGGAGCAGTGTCAGCTGGTTAGGCTGGGAGGTGACACATAAGCTAGGCAGCATGTCACCCTCCTTCCTGGGCCTCCTCCCAGGGTGGGCAGGGAGCTGAGCCATTTCCAAAGAACCTGAGACAAGCCCAAGGAGATGCCTCCCTCCCAAGGTAATGGATCCAGAGAGCAGGGCACGTGTGCTCTGAGGGACAGCATTTGATACCCCAACAAAAGACCCAGAGGGCGCTCGGGGAGCCCTCGATCAGATTGTTCTCAAGGTTACTGAAATCCACCCCATCGTTGTCCCTCTCTCTGAGAAGTCATTTCCATCTGTGAGAGCCGCCTGCCTGATTTCTAATGAGACCATTATTTGTATTCCATCGGTGTCCCAAACACCCTCAAACCCACTCCAGATCCTGCCAATCCCTGTCTTCTAGGTCACAGCAAAGAAGGAAAAACCTATTGCTCCTTGAAAAGAGGAGGACTCATGACATTTTGGGGTTGACAGATGGCAATTCCTGTCATCCATCTTCCAAAATAAACTGCCACAGGGAACCGACAGTCACCTGCTGGAACTGAGCCACATGTCCCCCTCCTCCACACACCCTGCTCCAGGGCAGCCTGGCAGTACCAGCTCAGAGCCCCTGCCTGACTTGAGGGTCCTTCCTTAACAGGAGCTTAGCATCCTAAGCTTTGCATGTGCCAACCTGACCCGGAAGCTATTTCCAGGGGTCTGTAGTACAGGAGCAAATGAGAGAAGGAGAGACAAGAATCTCTGCTCCCAGTGTCTGCCCACCTGGCCACCAACTGAGCTATGGAGCAAGGGGCAGGGGCCCAGATAGCTTTCCCCACATTCGAGCCCAATGCAGAAGAGGAGCCCCGAATCTCTGCCAACCACTAGCAGGAGGAGACCAAAAGGCAGGAAGAGGAAGGAACAGGGAGCTGGCAATGGTGGAATCGTCTCCACAGCCCCATTCTCTCCCCTTTCTACAAAAGAGGGATGCTGCTGGTCCAAGGTGGGGGCCACCCAGATGCCTGCCTGCTGCCCGCGGGGACTGACTCTGTCCTCCCACCAGAAGACCCAAGTTCCTTGGGCTCAAGGTTGGAACACATCATGGAGATGGGTTGATGTTGCCGTAGGGACCACTGAAGGGGTTGCAGATTTGGGGCCACCACTGCCCCATCCCTCATGTGCATGACAGGCATTGCTAATCAACTGGAAGGGTTTTTAACATAACCTGTTAGTCAGTCACTCCCAATCCGTCGGAGCTGATGCTTCAGCTGACATCTGTCACCATCCCTGGGTCAGATTTGTGAGGACTTTCTTAATACTAGGAGCTGTGACCTTGAAGCAGATGACCAAGGAAGATAGGGGCATGTCCTCCTCTGGAGGAAAGTCAGGAAATATTTCATGTCAGCTGCCAGGGTGGCTTTATGTGTTCCTTGCTGAACTGAAAGCTGACACTGACAGGTTTCCATGACAATTGATTGCCAAAGTCAGCACTGCCACTGCTAGTTGTGTGACTCAGCCAATTATTTATCCTTTCTGTGCCTCAGTTTCCCTATCTGTGAAATGGGAATAATAATAGTATATCTGCTTCTTCTGGGTATTGTGAGGAATAGATGTATATAAAAATATTATACATTTATATTTTTCCACTTGGAATATACTGTACACTCAACCTTCCCCGGAGGTTTTTGTTAGTGTCTAATTTTAAGGAGGAAATTGTTATTCTGTGAATTTTTTATACTTCATTTCTTTACTCCCTTCATTCCAAGGAGGGGATGATTTACAAACTAGATAAGGAAACATGGGGACTGGGTGGGGGCCAATGTAGAACACAGGCAAGAAACCTGGCTGTGAATTCCCTGGTGTTGAGAGCAAAGAAGAAAGCAGACTTTTTACAAGACTCAGTCAGCCTTGGCCAAGAAGTGCACCTGGCTTTGGGGAAGCCTGGTTTTTCCTGGCCCTGATGCCTGATATAGTTCGTCCCATGTGTCCTCGTCAGGCTTGCACATCCTGGATGATATGGGCTGTAAGTACATAGGAGCAGTAAGTAACATGTCCCCTCTGTCCCTGTCCCAGGCAGATCCACTGTGGGAGGTTGAAATCCTGCCCCAGCCCAGTCCCCTCCCAGGGGTCGGGGGGTCAGCATCTACTTCTCAGCCCCTGTGTGTGTGGTGTTGGGGTTAGGCAGGTGGGCAGTGAAAGAGAGTATGGCCTTGGCTCTGCAGCTCTGGTGTCCTGTTGGGGCCTGGGACAGTTTGGAGCTGAGCTGCAACCAGTCCATTCATTCCCAGGGAGACAGCCAGGAAGACTAGGAACTCAGCACCTCTCAGGCAAAATAAGGCAAAATCAAGGCCAGAGTTGGGGGTACTTACTCCTGGCACTACCTGAGTTGGCCTCAGCATCCTCCAGGGATGGACTTGTCTCCCTGGAACACTGAGACCCACTCCTGGCTCTGCCCTTGGTCCACAGGAAGAGCAGGATAGCTGTAAGGAGAGATTCGGCCTTAGGAGAGCTAGCCTGGCTAGCTCCATGCACCTCCCTGGCGTGTCCTCTTTTCTCCTACAACAGTGACAATAACCAGCATCTACCTAGGGCTTGCTGTGGTGCAGCCCCTGAGCGCAAAGCTTTGCATGCACTACCTCATTTAAGCCTGAAAGATGAGTAAGGATTGTTCTTCTGTTTTCAAGATCATGAAACAGAGGCACAAGGAAACCGAGCCACTTGCTTAAGGTCACCTAAGCAGCAAGAGGCAAGACTTGAGCCCAGGTGGGCCGACTACAGAGCCCAAGCTCTTAACCTCGAAAGTACTGTCCTTCTGATGGAGACACCCTCTGTTGCCTCAGATCTGGCACTCAGCTCCTGAAAGGCTCCCCAGGGCTTCTCCCCTCTTTGCAAGGTGCCCATGAAGCCCCAGGAGGCAGTAATTAGGGCAGTTTATTAACCTCCCTCTCGTATCACATCCACCCAGAAGTGAGGATCCAGTGCTAAAAAGACATCTTCAGGATTGGCTTCATTCTTGACCTTCCTCCTGTTCTCATTGCTATGATGAGAATTATTCTAACTTATTAATAGTATCTTTTGTTGAGTGCTTTCCTCTTTTCAATGGGATTTCAGACTCATTTTATGGAGTCTACTTCATGAGCAGAATTGTGCCAGGCAGGAGTACCATGGTCATGAATAAAGGGCAGAAGACAGAGCTGTGGTCAGAGAAAGCAGGTTCCTGGAGCTTCAGAGGCCTCCATGTGCACCGAGACCCAGTGCCCAACCTCCTGCCTCCTCTGCAGCCCACCACTGGCCCATCGTGAAGTGGCTGGTTTGACTCTGGTCAGAATATCAAAGGAAATCCCACTGCCTTCTTCATGATCTTATAGGAAAGCCCCCACCCGCCCCATATACCATCGTCACAACCCATGGGCTCAGATTGGGCAGGTCTGCAGGAACCTCCCAGTGCATGGCAGGTTCTACCCAGGGTTTTCCTGTGTGGAGAGACAGGGGAAGTTTGGAAGTCCTTATGAGGTGAGTGCTGCTGCCAAGTGCCATCCACCAGAAAGGTGGACTTGTACGAACCCTGTGGTGTGTCCGCATTCACCAGATGTCACTGTGAAACCTCTGCCTCTTCCCCAAAGTCCAAATGACCATGAGAGGTAAACATTTGCATCAGTTCAGGACATCGAGGCAGCTGCAACAGCACTACTAAAGCCACTGCAGAGGACTTCTAGGACTGCTTCAGAAAGTGACAAGAACAATGGGATGTGTTCAAAGTGAGGGGGAGTTTTCTGAGAGGGATAAATGGCAATGTGTCTTTTACTCTGATGATTTTTTTTTTAACTTTCACCTTCTCCCAGCAGCCCACAGAGCACAGTGATTAACCCAAGGGTGCACACAAGCTGCCTGGGGTGGTGTTGATGGTTGGCTGTTCATACTATAACCTGTGTAACTTCACTCTTCCTTCCTTTATCCAGGGCCCCACTGGAAGACCTGGGCTCCCTGTAAGTAACTGTTTCATTTCTTCTTCCCTCTGTTTCTCTTTTACCTGTCCTTTTTATTTGGGGGGGGGGGGTGCTGGGGATGGAACTCAGGGCCTCGTGCATGTCAGGCAAGTGCTCTACCACTGAGCTATGCCCCGGCCTCTCATGTGGCTTCTCAGTCTGAGTTGAGTGGCCGGTTCTCCCCTCGGTGTCTCTCGGTAAGGAGCCTCTCTCTCTGAGTCTCTGGTCTATAGCTGAGGGTGACAGCCCCTAGCTCCCTCCCTACCTCCGGATGCCCCTCCTGGTTGCGGAGAAGCAGACTCTCCCAACATTAGACATGACATCAAGACCAGTGGTCCAATAATGGACAGGCTGGGAGTAGGGGTCTGGCAAAGCAGTGGCTCACTGAGATCCTCCTGTCTGCTACCTAACACTCCAACCCTTGTCCCACTTTCTCCTGGGCCCTCTGGTTAAAAACAAAAAGTGGAATCAAAAACTTTGTTTTTTGCGTTACTACTTCTGAATTCTAGAGAAGCTATGCCAAGAAGAAATAATACCAATACCAATAACCATCTTTTACTAAGACTTTAATAGGTGCCAGGCATAATTTGGTCAACAACTCAGTGAAATGGGTACTATTATACCCATTCTTGAGATGAGGAAACTGAGACTCTGAGAGGTAAAAACTGTTCTCCGAGCTTCCCTGGGGGAGCCCATTCCACACTGCTCTTTCCTGCGGCCCACGTTTGACACTTGAGAACCATCTTTTAAGTTTTCCAGGACATTGTGGAGTCCAGGCTGGATAAATGAGAGGCGCACTGGATATCAACACCGTGGGCCCTGGGTCAAGGGGCCACTCAGGCAAGATGCTGTAGCCAGTCAGAGCACCAAGCTGGGGGCATGGAGGGGACCAGGATGTGTCTTTGCTCGAGGCCACAGCAATTGGATTCCAGGCCCTTTTGAACATCCTTCTTCTCTTCCTTCCTTTAGACATGAATTACACTGTAGCCCTTAGGGCTTATCCAAGAGCTTCTAGAACTCATACCCAGCAGTAACTTTTTAATGAAATGCATGTGGGAGAATGTTCAGCCTCAACAGTGGAAACCCTCCCAGTAAGTGTGAGCCCAGCTCAGTCCCACGAAACCTAAGGAGGGGAGAAGTCAGATGACTGCAGGCAATGTGGGCAGACTTTGTTTTTTTCTTATAGCATCCACCTTTAAAAAGCATTTAGAGGGCAATTCACAGAGCAGGGGCTGCTGCAGTTTCCAGGCATTGGCCATTCCATGCCTGTCCCTAGCCCAAGCATTTTATGGCTAGGACTGCAAAGAATATTAGTTTTTAAAAAAAAAAAAAAAAGAAATGAAAAAGAATCCAAAACACACATCCTGAAATATCATTCAAAAGTCGGAGAGTGAATGGATCGTGGAGATGTCACAGCCGACAACCAGCATTGGCCTCGTGTTCTGGCAGGAAGAGCAGATTTTAGATCCACAGGTCATGGTCCTGTGGATGCTTCCTCCTAAAGGGATCTGGGAGTGGCCTGCAGGAATATTTGCAGGTACTGGCCCTTTGTTGTAAAACAAAAGAGATGTGAAGCACAAACATGCTGAGATGTGTACTTACCCGTGACCATGGCCGTGCTGAGCTTAACACTAGAAGATGTGGTTTACTCACATCTCTCAAGTGCCAGGCTCTGGGCTGAAAAGGACCCTCTTATCACCCCTGTCCAAGGAAGCTGATGCACAGGGATGTTAAGGGAACAGTAGATGCTTAAAGCCTGCACTAGGGTGGAATGCTTTACTCAAAAACACCACTGGCCTTAACAATGTGTGTGTATAACAGGAGCCTAATTTCAGAGCTGACCACTGTCCTCTGACATGTCCCACATACATCTTGGGATGCCAGTTGTCCCACAAGGCCTTCTGCCTCACTGAGGTCAGCAGATACAGCCACCCCAGAAATGCCTACGCATTTCAGGGAAATTCAAAAACGCAGGTCTCTCCTGCCCAGCTGGCCAAACATGATCTTACTTCCCGCACCCCAGTGCTTTCCATCCTTCCAGCCCCCACCCCAAATTTTATGATGTCTGCATGCATATGATTGCAAAAAAATATTTTCTACTAAAAGGAGGAGGAACAAAACTTAATAAGCAGATTTCCAGAGTGAGAAGATGTAACCCCTGGCGACAAAACAAAGAGCTCTCTCAGCATCTGAAACTCATAATTCTTCTCAATCCACATAGCCCGAGGTCCTTCCTGCTAGTACTGGAGGTGGCTGAGAGGTGGGAGGGCAGGAGAAGGATTTTGTCACAGCCTCCACCGACGGAGGGGCCCAGAGGAGCAGGGTAGTGTGGGCACTGCTCCCCAGCTCTGGCAGACAGATCTAGGAAAGTGATTCAGCCACTGGTCACCTTGATCTGTGTCTTGAACTTGAGGTGATGGAAACAAGGTGCTTTCTGGTCATTGCTAGAGTGTTGCAGCAGCAGAGATCTGAGAGAGGAAGGGCTTGGAAACCTAAGGAAACTGAGGACCGGGCTGGAGACTGGACTTGGATGTTAGGGTTCATTTTACTGATGCAGGCCTGAGTGCAGGTAGCCACTTACTGAACACTGTGGGGGCCGCCTGGGGGTTCATCCACAGCAGCTTGGGCATCATGCGGAATGTTTCCCCAGCTTCCCCATGTTTCCCCATGCAGAGAGAGTGAGCTGCGCCCCCAACTGGGTGCACAGCTCACCCATGGGACACACCAGCTGGGTCCAACCACATCTGATTGTTTCTGCCTCCTTCATCAGGGGGACAAAGGTGCCATTGGGATCCCTGGACGTGTGGTGAGTTGGCATTTGTACCTGCTCAGGTGGCCACTGCTTGCTTCTTCATGCTGGCCTGTCCTCCAGACCTTGGCAAAATGCTGCCCACCCTAGCCCCAAAGAAGGAGCAGCTTCAGGGAGGGACAGGGAAAGAGAAGGGAAGAAATTTTATCGGAGTCTTCAGACTTCATGATAAGGCTTCGTAGTAGTTCATTCACCCTTATCCACAGTTTTACTGTGTTTAACTGTGGTCCAAAAATATTACAATAAATAAGATATGCTGAAAAAGAAACCACATTTGTACAACTTTTAAAAAATATATTCTTATAATTGTCCTATTGTATTATTATAGTTGTTAACCTCTTACTGAGCCTAATTTACACTTTATCATAGGTGTGTGTGGATAGCAGAAAACAGTAAATGTAGGTTTGAGTATAGTCTGTGGTTTCCAGCATCCCCTAGGGGTCTTGGAATAAGTTCCCTGAAAATGAATGAGGGCCACTGTGCTCTGCAGAGAGCTGTCATGGAAAGTGCAAGGGAATAATAGCATGAACAAAGCACTCTGCTTAATGGGTGATAATGGGATGAAGTTACCCTCCTCCTCCAGAGGACTCCACACACTACCCAAAAGCAGGCAGGTCACCCCCAGGTTTATTGCCCCCCTGCAGCCGTTCCCCAGTGGAACCAGCATTTCCAGAGCATCTTCTGGAGGAGAGTCGCTCAAAGATGGTAAAGACAGGGCTTGGCTCCAGATGGTGCCTCCAGATCCTCACCAGGAGGCTCAGCTTGAAGACATTTAATGATTCCTGATGAAAAGTGAAGATGGGGAACAGGAGATGAGGATGGTTGTTAGGGAGAGTTCATCCCAGAAATGGAAAGGCTGGCACCAGGGTTTTTCCTAGCAGCCTCGGAATGATGGTCTCCAGATGACCCGAAGGGTGACGGCCTGGTGTGATATTGGCCAGGCGCCATTTCACACCAGGCTGCCTCGTTGAGGACATGGCTAGGGCTGCTCCCCACTCTGATTCCTAACCTCTACCGGCATCAGCCTCAAACTCCAGGCCCCGCCACCCCCTCCCCCATGTCATTCCTGGCTGGATTGGCCTTGGCATGGCTGTGGCATCTGTGTGACTTCATATGCCTGGGCTGAGCATGGAGGCCAGGCATCCAAACCGTAACTAACCCTTCCAAGTACTAATGCTATTAGCATTGTGCTAAGGGCCTCACGCACAGCAGCTTGTTGAACTGCACAATTTACACCCCATTTTTCAGATGAAGAAACAGAGGCTCAGTAGTTAAAAGTTTTGCTGAAGGTCACACGGCCAGGAAGTGGCTGAGTAGAGACTTTAGCCCAAACAGGCAGGCTCCAGATGGATGCTTTTGACCCTGGCAATGCGCCCACAGTATCACAGCTCTCAAGGGGGTCTGATCCTCAGACAGAAGCTCCAAAGCTGGAACATTCCAGAGTTTAAGACAAGTATCCCTTGTCACAAAGCTTTGAGCACTCCAGGGCCCACCCTAGGCTTGTCTGTCAAGGCATGGGGCCTGGGAGCCTAGGCCACCACACCTGAAGCTCTCCTCCTACTCCATACCAGAACACCGAGGGACCTTGGCCTGGCCCTGTCACTCTGCTTCAGCTCCATACTCTGAGCACACTCAAGTGGTCACTGGTTCCCTTACAAAGAAGGAGACATTATTTATTCCGCCATCCTTTCTCAAGAGCTTACTGTGTATGGGCCTTAGCCAGGCACCTTATCCGCCACAGCCCCCTGAGACCCTGTTTTATGGGTGAGGATGTTGAATCTCAGTTTGCCCAAGATGGGTGTGCAGTTGGGTTTTGTACCCAAGCTAACAGTCCTGCAGTCCCTACTTTTAATAGGATAAGCTACCTTCGAGAGCTCCCCCACCCAGAGCAACACTGGCCTTCAGGGAAGGATACAAAGTGTAAAGTAGCACCCCCTCCTCCTTCCTGCCCTCCTCCTTGGGCCCTGTGGACTCCTTCCCCCAGGAAGTGCCCACCCAGCATCTTGTGACTCCCAGCAGTGGAGAGAGCCACAGGAAGTCTCCCACCTCCCAGGATAAGGCTTCTTTCAAGCCACTTTGGGGCTTCATGCTGCTGGCGCTATTTTAAATGTGACAATAGCTCATTTGGCTGCTCACTAGGGTAAGCATGGGTCATCTGATAAGGACTGGGGGCCTATGGGTGTGAAATTCTTGGGTCATTTTCATGCTTCACCAAAGGTGGCACCACAGGCTGGTTGGGAGCAGGGTGGAGGGGGCTGTCCATCATCTGCTAGTCACGGTGGTTACGGTGGTTACGTCCTTACATGGGTTCCTCAGTGACTCCCCAGGTTCCTCTGCATCCTGACCCATCCCCCACCCTTGTAGCTGTGTGAGTCCTCTTCTGTCCACCCATGTCCCTCTGCCCCCTCCCTCCTTCTGACCTGGCCACCCTTATCAGCTCCAGGCTTGTTGAGCTTGCCAAAACTTTGTACTTGGTACCCAGCCTAGCCTTCAAAGTTCCTAGGCTCCACTGTCACAGCACAGTCCTTGGGGACCTCTCTCAGCTCCACCCCACCTCCCCCTGACTCTCCAGCTGGACCTTGGCTTCTGGGGCAGGCTTTCTAGCCTTGTTTTTTTTCTGTCTTCCTCTGTGCCTGTCTCTGTCTGTCTGTCTGTCACACACACACACACACACACACACAAAACCTCCTGCCTCCCAGCCTGTTTCTCCTTCACTGATCTGGAACAGCCGGCTGGGGCAGACCAGGGTGAGACAAGAGCTTCCACACTCGGTTCGGGTTGGACATGGGACCTGTGTTTTGTTGTGCTTCTTATTTCACGGTGGTTTCTTCTGTTTGCTTGCTGTGCCATTAGCATGGATTCCTGTATTGGTGCCTCTCTCTCATCTCCCTCCTTCTCTCTTCCTCCCTCCCTCTCTTCCCTGTGCCCTTCAATGCCTGTGGCTGCCCCAGGGAGTGAAGGGTCCACCCGGCGAGAAGGTGAGTCCCCACTTCCCTGCTTCCTTCGCCCAGCCCCTCTTTGGCAGGCACTCTGGGTTGGGGGACAAGTTCCCCGAGAGCCCCCATCTCTGGCCTCCCTGCCACCCCACAGGGCATATGGCTGTTCTGCCCTCGAAGCCTCTGGCGGCCCAGACTAACAGCTTCCACACCACGGAGCAGGATGTTGGGATTCCTGGCCATGGGTCCAGCTTCCTGGCTAAGCGGGTCTCCCCTGCCCTGCCTGGACTGCATGGGCCTCATGCTCCAATGGCTGGCCTGGGCAGGAGAGCCCAGGAGGCCACCCGGAATTTCAGAGCCCCACTTATTTGACAGAGGAGGAAACAGGCCCAGAGGACCAGGGCTTGCCCAGGGTCCCACAGCAGTAGTGATGAGCAGGAGCTGGAAGCAGATCTCTGTGACCTGCTCAGTGCTTCCTCGCCCGCACGCAGCAGTGTCTCCCGTCTCCAAGATAACCACCATGACATCAGTAATAACCACCTATCAAGCAGGAACTGTGTCAGGCTCAGTTTTAAGTATTTTCATCTCAGTATTGTTACCTCAGTTGACACTGACACACCCCTTCCAGGGAAGCATTAATATTGCCAGGTATGTGATACACAGAGAAGGCTGTCACGTGCCCAAGGTCACACGGCTAGAAAGTGTCAGAGCTAGAAGAGCCCGATCTGGTGACTCCAAGGCTGAGGCTCCTAACCACCAAGCTGTGCTGTCCTCCAAATGGAACAAGACTCTCTCGGGTCTTACCCTGGTAGATGGTGACGCTGCCCGGAGAAAGACACATGACCTTTCCATGGTAGATGGCAGGGCACAGTTTGGTCCTTCTGCAGGAGCCAGTGGCCTCTCTTGCCCCCATCCATGTCCATACACTGTCCCATCTGTGCTACACACACACACACACACACACACACACACACACACACACACAGAGTATCTAGCTAGCTCAGCAGCTTGGAGCTCCAAGCCCAGCAGCACCAGCCACCTCTCAGACAACCCTGTGGCCAGCCTTGTGACTCCTCTATGGCATGCGCAAACCAGGACTAGGAAATTCACCACAGCTCGACCTTTCAGGCTCAGGCTGTAGGACACACGTGGCCCTTGTGTCTTTTGTCCCTACCTTCTGTTTCCCTGGCCCCAAGCTCAGGGCAGATCGCCATTCACCACTTGCAGGGTGTGCAGCCAGATGGGCGTTCAGGGGTAGGGATGGGCAGATGACCACTGCTAACCCCCACCGCGTGGCCCTCTTGCCCACGGCTAGTGTGGCTCCAGCTCTCTTCCCTGCCTGGGTCCGTCAGCCATTTCCTGTTCACCCTGTGGCTCATGCTCACACTCGCACCTCTTCTCTCTCTTTGCCTTCTGTTCCCACTGCTCTTCACAGCCCTTCCGGAATATTTACTCACCCCATTGCCCCGTTCCCTCACTGTCCTCTGTACCTCCAGCCTCCCTCTAGTCCACAGGGTGGGCACTCATCCCTGCCCCACCTGTCAGTGCCTGCCTGTTGTCTCCTGTCCCCACTCCTTCTCCTCCCTCCTCTCTCCCCACAGGGTGCCCCTGGAGATGCTGGAATGTCCATCGTTGGTCCCCGAGGACCCCCTGTAAGTTGTTGCTCTTTTTCAGGGGATGGGGGAGTCCATGAAAGAGGCTTTGGGGACCCAGAGGAGGGCAAGTCCTAGCTGTGGCTCTAGGTGTGGCAGCTACATGTGGTGTGGCTAGCCATAAAGAGAGTGACCCAAAACCACAGAGCAAGGGAGGCTCTGGCAGGCCTGCAGCAGCTGAGAGGACCCTCTGTTTATAGCTGGGAGTTCATGCTTGCTCCTCTGGGTGGGTGCTCAGCCCACTGGGATACAAGGTTTGTTCCCAGAAGCTGGAGAGCAGATGCCAGGAATCCAGGTTTTTAGCTAGCCATCCATCCACTGCTGGGCTTGGGGGAACTGACGCAAGTCACCCTCAAGGGCCCTTTCTGTGTTCTACATATATTCACTGGCACCTTCCCCAGCTTAGGAAAGCCAGGGAGCTTCCCCTCTAACATGCTGCCCTAGGGACCGGAAGGGAGATGTGGTTGACAGAGCCAGCAAGATAACACAGCTCTGGGGAGGAAGGCAGAGGGTTTTCCCCAGGGTGCCCACCCATCGGGCTTCAGTAAAATCACTTGTTGGAGAAGGAGGAGACCCCAGCCACAGTCTAGCACAGCCCTCTCAGAAAAGGAAGCTGCGGCCCAGACAGGGGAAGGGACTTGGAAGCCCCAGAAGTAGGGACCATATTCGACTCCACTTTGTAGATGAGAAGGCTGAGGCACACAGAGGTTGAGTGCCTTGCCCAAAGTCACAGCAGGACCTTGGCCACACTCGGAGTGATCACTCAGCCCAGGCTGTATGGCTCTGAACCCTCTGCCGTTAGAGCCCGGCCAGGCTGCGCTGTCACACATGCTCCTCTGTTCGCATGGCTGCTGTCTTGATGAGCTTTGTTTCCTTGTGTGCTGGGGGATGCCTGAGCCCAGATGTTACTGAAGAAAGGGGTGACAGGAAGGTCACAGAGAAGAAGAGAGTCCCCAGGTTCTGACATGGAGGATGGAGCCTGTCAGGAGGAAAAGGAACACAGAACACAAGCCACTCTTCAGCCACCATGGCTGCCTGGTCTGACCACCAATAACCTGCTGTGTGCCTCACACTTGTCTTCTGACGCCCTTCCAGCAAGTACTGTCCGTGACCTAAAAGTCATTGCAAAGCCTCCCTCTTTGTACAGGGTCTTTCCCTTCAGGAGAAGACAGTTGTCCCTGTGGGTGCCTATGCTGGTGCTAGGAAAGCTTTCATGGCCCCGGGAGTCCTGATCAAGCCCAAGGTCCTTTGATGTTGGCTTGTATGAGTGATTTCACCCAGATGGCTCAGTCCCCCCAGCCAAGTCCTCACCAGACAGCCCTGGCCACATTCTCAGCTCCTGCTGCCACCCTGGGATGTGAGAGCAGGGGACAGGGAAGACAGAGTCTGCTTGTCATTAGGAAGAGAGGTCAAGTGGGCAAGTCCTATGGGCCCAGGGATGATGGGGACATGTGGCTTTCCACTCGGCCAGGAAGAACCCCGAATAAGTGCTGCTAATCAAAACCAGCCTTGCCACTCTGCAGGGCCACCTGCCTGCTCTCATGGAACTTATAAATGGTCCAAGAAAAGGGGGACCAGGCAGGTACCTTGAAGAAAGACAGTTCACATTCCAGGGTGGGTTTGTAGACTTTTGAGGGAGCCCCATCAAACAGGAGGGGAGACTGTACCCCAAAATTCTGGCTGGCCCAGCACGAACAGGACACCTAGTCAAAAGAAGCTGCTCCCTCCCTGAGGTCCCAGCTCCTCCTCAGGCCTAGAGGAGAAATCCAACTTCCAGCTGTCACCCACAAGGAGCCACCCTATGCCAGGTAGCCACACCTGCTGTGCTACTAAGAACCTAGTGTGTGCTAGGTGCTAAGTAGACGATGGAAGCCTGACCCAAGGCCCATGATCACATCAGGGATCACAGTAAATGCTAAGCTGGGATGGCCAGGGAGCTGTGGGGTTGGGGGGAGCTTTGGACTTAGACTGAGGTCAGGCAGAGACAGCTTCCGAGAGGAAGAAAGAGCTAAACTATGCTTGTGGACTTCCAGTAGTGACCCAGATAACGAGGCCTAGAGAAGACTGCAGAGCCCCTGAACCCAGAGGGGCCCCTTAGAATCTGGCAGTGAATGGGGATGCCTTTCCTCTCCAAGGAGGGCCAGGGCAGGGTGGTGAGAGGTGGGGCTGGAGAGGTGAACACAGGCCAAATCACAAAGGACCCAACACAGTGCTCAGGAGCTGGGGCTTCATCCCAAGGTATTGGGGAGCCCTCAGGTTGTGTTAAGTTGATGAGGATCAGGATCTACAGGTGGCTGGCTCCTCCTTGGAGCTGGAACGTGTCTAGAGGAACTGCAGATGAGGACCCATTGGAAGGCACCCAGGATTACCAAAGCCTGGGAGAAGGGGTAGACTAGAGATAGCCCTAGACAGGTGGAGTCAATGGGTTTAGTGATGATAAAAGCAAGGCTTGAAAGAGAAGTAGGAGCTCAGGATGCCACACATCTGACTCTCAGGGCATGGTGGTGCCAGTCCCTAGAAGTGGAGCTTAGCAGGGGAGAGGGTTTCCTTACAGCAGAATGGATGTGAAGTGCCTCAGGATGTCTAAGGGGAGCACTGCATTTGCTGCTAGGGGTCTGGAGTACGTGGTGTGCTGGCTCACAGCAGTGTGCTTTGTGAACCTCCTCTCTGCTATGATAGGCAACCTCACAGAGCGTAGCCTGAAATCAGCCACAAGCGCAAATGGAGCTCTGGTCTCCCACCCCTGTACTGCCCAGCCTGGACTAAACATCTCCCAGCATTCACAAGTCATGCTGTTCAGTGTGGACAATGAGGCAGGTCCAAGGCACAGACATAACCTGGCCTCTTTGGAGGTGTCAAAGAGGAGAGTAGGGAGACCTCCAGTAGGCTCTTTCCAGTCAGAACTATGTTTCCTTACCCCACACAAGATGTGGATAGGAGAGAAGAGGATAACACAGGCTTCCACTTTCAGAATTGGGGACCTGGGCTACCTTCTTATCCTGGCCTTGATTAAGGAAGGTAATTTCAACCATCAATGTAAAGCTTATTTCCCTTGTTTTTGTGAGAAGGACAAAATATTAATCCATAAATCGATCTATTATCTATAACTTTTGTGTGCTCCTAATCCCGGTGAATTTTCAATGGGATTGGGAGTCCAATAAAATATTGAATTTATTCAGAAAAAATAAGCTTGTGAAAATAGAGAAAAGGGATGAGAAAAGAGGGGCCTAGTATTATGCAATGTATTACAATGCACAGCCATCAAAACGAGCAAATGGATAGAATAGAAGGATGAGACCAGAAATAAAGCCAAATGCATGTGGGAATTGGATACGCAATGACAGCTTCATTCCAGAATAGGAAGAGAAAGATTGTTCAGATATTGGGGCAGGCCATTTAGAAAAAGGTAAACGGAAAGAAAGCTATTTGTTTCTTTTTTAAAAATAGCTGAATCTCTACCCCACTCATATTAGGACAAATTCCCAATGCATAAAACACTTAGATGTAAAATATGAAACCATAAAATATAAACAGGAAACACTAGCAAATGTTTTCTAATTCTGAGTTGGGAAAAGGCCTTCTGAAACATGACATAAAACCTCCCCCAAAGCCATAAGAAAACATTAATAAGTTTGTCTACATAAATGTAAGACTTCCGTATGATGGAAAATATAATATAAACAAAGTCAAAGGCAATAGCCAAGTCAGAAAATATTCCCAACACATATGACAACGAAAGAGCTGTTGTTCTTGGGAAAGAACTTTACTCGAATCAATGGGAAAAGGTAAACAACTGAGTAGAAACTATTAATAAAAGCCAGGTGTAATAGCATGCACCTGTACTTAGCATGTCCCACTACTTAGGAGGCAAGGTAGAAAGTTTGCTTGGGCCCAGAAGTTCAAGGCAAGTCTGAGCAAAATAATGAAACCCCATCTCAGATTGCATAGATAGATAGATAAATAGATCGGTGGATGGATAGATAGATAATAGCCAATACAAGCCTAAGGCTAGCCAATAAATATTGAAAGACATCTCAGCTCAGCATATAACTGAGGAGATATGAATTAAAATCCAGTTCCAAGCCTCCCCAAGTGGTTTCCCCATATCTAACATCTCCAGGAAGTAGAGTCTCGATTTCCATTTGGTCAATGACAACATTCTTCCCGAGATCCCTGAAAAACCCCTGGTTAGCCCCGGACTTGGCCCTGGGTTGGAGAGATGCATCCTGCTACCAGAGCAGGCTCTGTAATTAGCAAACCGTGTGATTACCCTTACCGCATAAACACTATCCAGAACAAGCCTTAAAGATGTTTCTTGGAATCCTCTCCTTCTGACCTTCCCTTCAGGCCTCTGCCTGTTTAGAGTAGTTTACAAAAAGCTTGCCCTGGGGGGTTTCGGAGATTGCACTGCATGGTTTCCAGGGTTTCTCCTTAGGGCTATTCTTAGCATCACTTGTCTTGAGAGAAGAGAAGCCCAGGCCCTCCTGACGCATGAGTGGCATCTCCTCCCTCTTGTCCTTTGGACTCCTGCCACAAGCCCAACCCGAGCCTTGAGCCAGCTCCCTGCTGGACCAGCACTCCCACATTGACGTGGCAGGGTCCCCATGCCACCCAGGTCAAGGAGCCCACAGGTTCCCTAAGAAGAGGTCTCCGGATGCTCATGTCCACACCTTTAAGGAGCCAGGCAGCCTGGAGATGTTTCAGAGCCACAGCAGATGGAGCCTCGTGCAATCTAGTTCCGGAAGTATTGCTTGGCTTAGATAAGCCTCTAAGACATATTAAGCTCAAAGCCAACCTCACTTTATTCTGATGCCTCTCTGTTCAGCTCAGTTCAACAAACAGCCTGTGATGGTGGCTACCATTTCAACAGACCTGACAAACCTTGAGCCTATACTATTATCCCCATTCTACAAATGAGGAAACTGAGGCTCAGGGAGGTCAGATAAGTTGCTCAAAGTCACACAGCTGTTGTTGGCAGGGGCAGGATTAGAACTCAGTCTTCCAGACCTGCCAGACGAATAAAACCCATCCCTAGGAAAGGTCTGTGGCCATCTCAGCAACCCCAAGGGTGACTCCAAGTTGAGAGCTGGCCGTGTGTGTGCAGGGAAAGGCAGGTGAGTATGTGCCTGGGCCTGGAGCAGGAGGGAAGAGGAGCCAGGAAGGGCAGCTAACATGGTTCACTGGGATGAGAAGGGGATGGCCTGCCATGACAGGGGAGTAGAGAGGAGCCCTTGCTGGTTCTTCAGGAAGGGCATGACGAGGCTCACATTTCTTAGCTCCCTGTTTACTTGACCTTCTGGTCAGCCTCCCCAGCCTGGTGCTACTTCTACCTTCAACACCTCTCTCTGGTCCTGAATCTTGACCATAAACCACTGGGCTCTGGCCAGTGAACCTGCTTCTAGTCTGAATCCTAAAACTCTGTCTGCATTGCACTCTGCATTTCTAGGGAAATGGATACAGATTGGTCTCTTCCCACAAAACCTGGGGCACTCAGAAACCTTGCAGCTACAGGGAGGAGACTGCTGGCCTGGGAGAGGGGGGAGCATGAACAACTTGACCTATTCTAGCCTAAACGTGTTCTAAAGGTCAAGTTCTGCTCTATGCTGATGTCCAAACTACCCTTGGATAAGTAGCTGTGAGCAATGCCCGTAAATAAAGAGGACGTGGAGCATCTCAGTCCAAGGCTTCCATGCACCGCAGGCTGAGTCCCAGCTGGCCTGCTCTCTCTTGGTCCATTTACATGCTCAGGCTTAGAGCAGCCACCGCAGTGAGGGGCCACTTCCTAGAAACTGGCCCAAAGACGCTGTCCCTCCTGTCCCTCTCCCCACCCCTAGTCCCTGAAGATTTCCCGTGATATTCCCTTTCCACCTTCTCCATCCTCCCTGCAGCTGGTTTACATGCTAAGTGTGGCCCATGGAGGTCACAAGGGAGTGAGGACGGCCATGGATGAGCCAGGGAGAGAGCTAGCTCCATCCCTCCTAGCTCATCCTCACTGTTCTCCCATTCTTTTCAGGGTCAGCCGGGCACTCGGGGCTTTCCTGGATTTCCGGTAAGTGGGGAGGGTTGAGGTTAGCTGTGCCCAGGTGGGCTATATGCCTGACTGGGTTAGACTATGTCCACTGAGGGCAGCCGTGAGACCACTCTTTCCCTTCCCCTTCCAAACCCTGTCGTGTGTGTGTGTGTGTGTGTGTGTGTGTGTGTGTGTGTGTGTGTGTGTGTGTTACTCGAGATTGAACCCAGAACCTTCACAGTGAGCTATATCCCTAGGCTTTTATATTTTTTTTATTTTTGGGTAGGGTCACTAAGTTGCTCAGGATGGCCTTGAACTTGTGATCCTCCTGGCTCAGCCTCCTGGAGTGCAGGGAATCACAGGCACGTGCCACATTCCTGGCTCCTACTGTGGTCATTACAAACTTACTCTGCAGCCTTTCCCAGAAGAGTAGCTCAGCTCCTGGCTCCAGGTGTAGAAAGGGACAGGGAAATGCACACACAGATAAAGGGGCAACAGGACAGGCTAATGAGCCTGGCAGGACACTGGTATGTGCTTCAGAGAAGCGACAGGCCATCAGCCTGCAGCCAGGCTCCAAGAGAAGGTCCACCAGGGAGGAGGCAGCAGGGTGGCCATCTGAGTATCCTTTCACCCCTGCCCATGGCAGGGAGCAGCTGCTTCCTTTCCCTGGGCCTTGCTGCTGAGCAAGCCTGGTTTCCTAGGTACATAGCATCCATTCTCCAAGTGGGTCGAGAAGGGAGGAGAAGGTCTTTGACATGGAGGACAGTGCCACCCAGTGGGCTCTGCCCTGTGCCAGGCAACTGGCAGTTGGCATTCACTGTTCCTCACTAGGACCCATCAGAGAAGGCTCTGCTATTCTTGACCCCATCGTAGGATGGGAAATGAAGGCTTAGGCTTACCTGTGGTCACACAGCAAGTAAGGGGCCAAGCAGGGACTCAATCCCTAACCGGGTGGCATCAGATCCCGTGCTTCTCATCCCTCCCCCAGGCCTCTGCAGGAGGCCTGTGATGCTGGGTCTTTACGTCTGGCTTTTCTGCTTGCAGGGTCCCATTGGGCTGGACGGCAAACCGGTGAGTGGGGGCTGGGACTCCTCCCTACCCTCTGCCTGGCTCCTAACCCTGGCTCCCCTGGTCCTCCTGTGAGACCCCAAGTCCTGGGAAGATGCTTTTGATAGAAAGTTCCTGGCTAGAAAGGGGTCACTAACACACTGTCCCCAGCCTGCATCCACCAGGGCACTCCTGTGTCTCTTGCCCTCCTCTGGGTCGATGTCCCCTTGGGCGGCACTTGAAGAGCCACCCTTTTCCCTGTTCTTTCCATGACTGTGAGCTGGTGCTAGGTAAGACCTCTCCCATACCAAGGCCATGCAGAGACCACTTCCCCCTCCCTGGCTTCTCCCAAGTGCACTTCCAGCCTTCAGCCTTGGCCCCTAACACCAATGTTCCCCGGGGGGAAGCAGCCCCCACCTTCTAGGGAGGGGTGAGGTACAGGAGGGTTGACCCTCGATGCCCTCTGGGACCCCACAGGCAAAGGCATGGGGTGGGAGGTGCATAGTGGGCCCAACCACTGAGCTCTCCCTGGGGCAGCCGATGTCCTCTTGGGTGGGAGACCTGGCCACCTGCCCTACTGTGGCATGTCCACTGCCAACCTGTCTAGTACCCCCTAAATCTCCCTCTGAAGGGCAGGCAGCAGTCATAAGGCCCAGGGAAGGGAGGGGCAAATGGCCTTGGCCTTGGCCTGTGTAGGGACTTGGGGGATAAGCAAGAGATGGAGTGACCATGCGAGAGACGAGTGACTCGGCCAGTGTGGTGACTGGAAGAGCAGGTGGCAGGCAAGGTGGGCCTTCTGTGTTGCTAACCGTGCACCTGACCATCATCTTCTTCTCCTCCTAGGGCCATCCCGGACCAAAAGGGGAGATGGTAAGACTCCAGCTCTGCTGCTTCTCAAGATGGGTGGGGGACTGAGCAAGCGGCTGCCCTCCTGGTCACTCCCCAGCTGTGCATGCCTGCAGCCCTGGGTCCTTGCATTTTGCAGTGGGGAGAGGAAGCTGGGGCTCCCCCATCTGAACCACAGGGAGGAGGGCCAGAGAGAACACCTGCCGAGCAGGTGGCACCGGCATTGAGTGGCAGCTCAGTGCTCCCCAACTACACTCTGTGCCTTGGTGGACCCACCAACATCAGCACCCTTTAGGAGCGCACAGCCTCTGCCAGATGGCCGGCTGTGTGAGCTCAGCTTGATTGTCCTTTCCCAGCACCAACTGTGCCCTGAGCTGTCCAGGCCACCTGGGCTGGGACACAAGCCTCCCTCCTGCAACATAAGCTGGCTCAGGGCTGGCATCTGTGCCAAAGGCCGTGAGAGCAATGTGGCCAGCCCTCTACCTGGCCAGCAGGGGTCTGGCTTGTGCCCTGCCCCCCCATGCCAGTATGAGGACTCCTTGACCAGCACACTGCCAGGGCACCAGGGGAGGCAGGAACTCCTGTGAATGCAAAAGGAAATGAAGGGCTCTCCCAAACACCGGGGCTTCAACTCCCACCAACCTGCCCAGGACCCTTAGCAGCTCAGTCTCCTCGGGGCCTCTACGTAAACAGTGCACCCAGACCCAGCATTTGCAAAACTGGGGGCTCTGGCATAAGCACTTCATGTGCATAGTTCTGTGTTGCTTAATGACAGGGATGCATACTGAGAAATGCAACCGGGGTGATTTTGTCACTGTGTGGACATCACAGTGCATGGTTATGTCATTAGGTGATATAATTAATGGGACCAGCATGGTATATGTGGCCCATCTGTGATTAAATCATCATCAGCTCGGCCCATGACTATTTTATCTCATTCAGTTCTCAGTGGGAACCTGTACTCTGAGTCCTATTAGAATCCCCCTTAGAGAGTTAAGTAACTTGCCTGAAGCCACATAGCTGGGAAGTACCCCGAACAGGATCCAAACCCAGTTCTCAAATTCCTTCCCTTTGTTGCCTCCTTCCTCCCTTTTTGTTTCCCCCCCTCCCTGCCTGCCTGCCTCCTTCCTTCCTGTAACATATTTTTATTGAATATCTGAAGTGTTCTGGGTACTGCATCAGGTCCTGGGGATGTGGACAGGAACAGAGAGACACCATCCTTGCCACCCTGAAGTTTGCGGTCAAACTGGAGTTTGCAGTTTGGGGGAGTCAAACATTTAAATAACCCATCACACAATTAACAAACTCCCCTGCAATGGGTGACATTAAAAGGCAGTGCCCGGGACCCTGGGAAACCTCAGGGTTGGAAGCTAATTGAAATAAATTCATGTGGGACAAACAAAATATCCATGAAGACCAGGACTGTCCCATGGGCCATGATTTGGGGTGTCTGGACTCAACCCTCCATATCTCTGCAGTCCTGAACCCCAGTGGGATGTTTCTCAGTCCCCCCACCCCCATCAGACTTCTCTCCTGTCCTGACTGAGGGTGGCCTGGTCACCTGGGGTCTGGCTTCTGGTTGCTGCTAGATGAATCCTGTGCCATTGAACTTGACACCAAGCACCCAGCCACCGGGGTGGGCTGGGAATGCTGCACAGATCTGGGTCGCTGGGTCCCCTGGGAGCTTCTGAAGCAGCAAGGCAGGAACAGGAGAGGCTCTTTCTCCATCTCAGCAGCCTGAGGCCAACCGCCCTGATGGCCCCCAACTCGGGGCCCAGAAATTGGTGTGTCAAGAGGGTCGTCATGGGTTGAGAGTCAGGGTAGAAAAGGACCTCAGGGGCCCTGGTTTTCGTTCTTACCAACTGTAGAATCCCAGGAGCATGGTGCAGACTCCTGAGAGCCAGCAGGCTGCAAGGTTCTCCAAGAACAAGCGTCTGCCCTGACCCCATGTGTTCCTCCAAGGAACTCAGAACGTGGCTCAGATCACAGGCCTCCAGCCTCCTCTCCGTGCCACAGGCTTCTCCAAAACTCCCCGAGTCCCCAGCAATGGCCTGTCCCCCTCCCACTGTGTCCCCTGAAGCCTTCTGGCTCTACGGCTTTCCCTGAGGCAGGAGCAGGATGTGCCAGTGTCTCCTGAAGCTGGGGTGGAGGAGGTACGGCGTCCCTGAGCAGATGGCCACCTGACTCCTGAGTGCAGCCTCCTGTCTGGTGAGCATGGGATGACAGTGGCCGGAGGAATGAATGAAGGATGGCATCTGAGGGGACAGGGCACGCCTGGCCATGCCTGTGGATGGCAAAGAGGCAGCGGCTTGGTGTATAAAGCCACACCATTTTGCACGCGTCGGGCACAGAAGGCCCTGGCACCCTGCAGGACTCCGGGACATTCTGAGAAGCCCCTGGAAGCCCAGCATCTGTCCCAGCCCCACTCTGGCACCTATCTCTGATCTGCCATCTTCTGTCTGCTCACTGACCTGTGTGTTTCCTCCCCCAGGGCCTGATGGGTGCCCGAGGACAGCCGGTTGGTACCTCTTCTTCATTATTCCCTAGCAGAGAGGTTTGGGGCCTCTGTGTCCTGGGCTTCGATCCCTAATTCTCATTTCTGTCTCTTTGTAGGGACCTCAAGGACAAAAAGGAGAAAAGGTAGGTGTGATGGGGGCTTCCTAAAATCTCCGGCTTGGACACAAACTTCCAACAGGCAGAACGGCACTAGAGTTGTTGTTTTGAAGTAAGAGGTTCATTGACAGAACCAGGAAAGGCTCCCAGGCTCCCCAGAATGTAAGACAGACACCGTGGAGCAGGCCTGGGTGACATCTTTTCTTAGGGGAGGGGTCTGCCCAGAGCATGGGCCTTGCCAGCTTCCTCCTTGGCACCTCCCGCCTGCCACCCCTTCAGTGTCGCTGACACAGGAGCCTCTAGGCTTTCGAGGTGTCCGTGTATAAACCCCGGGCCTAGCCCCTTCCTGGCCTCCTCCTTTCTCTGTTGAATTTCTGACTGGGACTCTCCCAGGACTCCCATCCAGGGCTGTCAGATGTTCCTACCCAGAGGATCCACCTCCCACCAAGCCTGGGGGTGGAATTCCTGACCCTCCCTCACTCCGTGGGGCCACTTCCAGGTCCACCCCAGACTGCCCTCTAGGGGGACAGGAGGGACCTCATTCTCCCACCTCATCTCCTACCCCCGAGTCAGAGGGCTCAGACCCACCAGAGCAGCAGGGACAGTGGGTAGTGAGATTTGAGGGGTATCTGATGGGTCTCAGGAATGCTCCTGAGAGACAGATCCCCCCAGCAAGGGTCTAACACCCACTCTCCTTTCCTCCCCTCCCCAGGGCCAGTGTGGCGAGTACCCACACCGGGTAAGTGAGCCCCTAAGCCGAATGGGCCCTTTGATCCACTCCCGGGCACAGCCCTGATCAGCCTCATCTCCCGGGTCTCTGCAGGAGCGGTGGCAGCATGCCTGTCGGGTACAGTGAGTGTGGATGGATCTGTGTGTGGTGTGTGGGGTGTGTGTGTGTGTGTGTGTGTGTGTGTGTGTGTGTGTGTGTGTGTGTTCAGTGGAGCCAGCCATCTACTGTCCCTGGCCCTCTGCCCATCGTCTGCTGACCCTGTGCCTGGGGAAGTTCCTGCCTCAAGCCTTACCTGGCTCCTTCCTTTTCTTTGCTCCTTTCCAAATACAAGACCCAAAAAACTCCTGTCAACCTATTAGGAATTTTCACTTGTGTACCAACACAGGGGTCGTGCTTGGGTCAGGGCAGGGCAAAACTGAGCCCAGCTTCCTCCAGCAAGAGTCCAGAGAGCTAACACCAGAAACGCGCCCTGCATGTAGGAACCGGGGACCAGACGGGCTGCGCGCAGGCCCAGGAGGCAGAGTAGGCAGGATAAGCATCTTAGGACATCATCCCTTCCCTTACGGGCCCCATTGTGCCCAGAAACACATGAGTGGCTCCCCTGGCCCCACACTTTGCTGAGCAGGACCTGGGGTTGGGTTTAGGGGGCAGAGACAGGCACAAACAAGGTTCAGTATGGACCTCACTCTGTCAGGCCCCTGTGAAGGGCTAGATAACAGGGGCAGCCTCTGCCCAATCGCTGAGGGGGAAGACATGTCAGACTCTGAACTCTGGACTCCTGTGCCACAGAGAGGCTGTGATGGGCCTGGACCTTGAAAGGCTGGGATAGGTTTGATATCAAGGCTGGGCCAGGCCTGGGCTGGGGGACATAGGCCAGCAGCCATGCAGACAGAGCTGGCCTATCAGTGGCATGTGTTCTAGGGACACAGAGGCCCTAGTGTTCCGGCCAGCCTGGTCCTGATACAATAATAGAAGACCAGCTGTGTTTATTTGAAATGATGGGCTCACAGGATTGTTATGTTATCCAAAAGAAAGGCAGCAGCCCCCAGCACAAAAAACAACCCAACTACAGTTACTTTGTCCATCTGTCACCAGTCCTGAAGGGACACTAGCGGTGGGCAAGGATGGGCTCTTTGCCTGGCAGCCCAGCACAGAGAACAGGGAAGGAGGCAGCGACAGAAGGTTCTAGAAGGACCTTGGCCACAGATGCAGTGAAGCCCAGCCTTAGGTCTGCAGTGGTCTGGGGAGCAGCAGGGAGAGGAGGAAGTAGATGTGGAGACCCAGCAGGGCAAGTTTATTTAGAAGAAGTAGGAAAGCAGGGAGCTTCGGGGGGCCTGCTGGTTTTACAAGGGATCTGTAGGCACGGTGGGGGTGGCAGGTCTCTGAGAGCCAGGCTGGTGCCTGCCTTTTCCACCTGAAACCTCACCGGGAAAGAAGGAGAGGAGAGGTGTGCTGGGTGGGTAAGATGGAGTCCCCGGCACTGGGGCAGAGGGCTGGTGTCTGTGGGCCCTCCTCCAATCTTTCCATTACCCAGTCTCTGCCGTCTTCCTTCCCCCTGCTCACCAGAAGCAACTGAGCAGCACACAAGCAGCTCTGCGCTCCAACCAGATAATCATCCTGAAGGTTTGTAGGTTCTGGAAGGTCTCGGCCCTCTCTGCTGATCTGCTGAGACACTTCCTGCACATGAGCCCAGCATTGCTCCCCCACTGGCCCGACTCGGGATGGGTGGGGCTCCAAGAGTGGCAGCTGCCTATGAAGGCACAGGGCTGACCTGGAAGGGCCCAGCTGGCCGGCGGGCTTCCCAATCCCCAGCTGGACGAATTCTCAGCCTCAGCGGCTCCTGGTTCTTAAAGTTCATCCCAAGGGGCTTGCAGGAGTTCAAGTGCTTTTGAAAACAAGTAGCTGGTTCTGTGCCATCTTTGTTTTCCCGTGGGCTGTCACTGCTTCTTAAGGCCACAGGTCAGTCGGGTAGAGGAACTGTTCAAGAAGTTCCAGAAATGAAAATCACATTGGACAATGGGATTGCAAGCTGTCGCCTCCCCCTTAAAAAAGTGGTTGAACATTCCAGAGACCTCTTTACCCAGCCTCTATTTTCTAAGCCTGCCAGCCCCACAGTGAGACCTCAGGGGCCCTTAGCCTGTGCCCATACCGGCCTCGCCCTCACCCGGCTCAGCCCTGCCAGCTGCTTTGGCCCTGCCCCGACCATCTTCAGATTTGCTGACATCAGCCTTTCTCATCCTACCAGAAAAAGAAGCCAAAGAGGGCTGCACATCAGCCTGGCTTCAAGTACCAATTTAGCTGTCCTGCGGCTCCTGAGCCAGAGCCTCTGAGTCTGTGACGCTCAGCCCAACAGCCTCTGCCCTCTAAGCAGGGATGGGCAGAGGCAGGCGGTACAATGTCCGACACGTGTCTAGGAGGCAGCCCAGCATGTCTAGCAGGCAGGCCTGGCCGAGCAGGGCCTCCTTCCCAGTCCAGGACTGCCGGCTAGTACCTTGAGCTCCAACCCAGAGGCAGAGGCGGGGTGCAGATGGAGGGGCCGCTCCTCCTTCCCAAGTCCTGCCATGCCAGCCCAGGCCTGCGTTCCACAGCTGTGAGAGTGCCCGTTCATGCCTTCCCACCTGCCCCTGAGCTCACACTAATCTCTCTTCTCTCTTCCTCTCCTCCCAACCCTCTGGGCCACTCTGCTTTCCTGGTGACTTTCGACATCGTTCTGAAAACCTGCGATCTTTGGCCTTTGTCCTCTGGCCTTCCAATTCACCTTTCTCTTCAGCTGCTGCCTCTCCTCAATTCAGTGCGGCTGGCTCCACCCCCAGTCATAAAAAGGCGGACTTTCCAGGTAGACACCTTCCCTGTGCCATGCCTGTGTGCTTCCCCCAGGGGAAGCGGGGGCTGCAGTCAAAGCCAGAACCTCCTCTAATACAGTTCAGTCAGATGACACAAGCATGGGCCCATTAATACCATGTCCGAGGAACACCCGGCACACAGACATCAGGAAACCTGAAACTCCTACCATACCACCTTGACTCCTAGCAGCCACCAGCATCAGCTGCCAGTGAGCCAGGCACCATGTTATCCATTTTTCAGGACTGGTTTATTTAATTTAATGGTTTTATGAATTAGATATGGTTGTCCTTATTCCGTGGATGAGGAAATGAAGGCTCAGAGAAGTTAAGTAAATTGCCCAGGGTGGCACAACTCATAAAGTTCAGAGCAGGGATTTGCATTTAGGTCCTCCGCCTGTTGCTAGCTGTGTGGTTTTAGGCAAGTGACTTGACCTCTTGGCCCCTCAGCTTGCTCATCTGTAAAATAAAGATAATAACAGTGTCTGTGTCATAGGGCTGTTGGACAAAGCACTTGGTATAGTTCCTAGCGTGGTGCAAGTGTTACAATGTTAGCTGTCATTATTACTGTTATCCACATTTTGGAGACAAAGAAATTGAGGCTCAGAAAAGTGAATTGATTTGCCCAAAGTCACACAAACAGCAAGAGGAAGACTTGGAACTGGCTGCAGGTCTCTAGCCCCCACATCCACCACTTTCATCCTTTCTGCTTAGAAATGCAGATTGCTTAGCAGCTGATCACTGGCAGCCTAGGTCTGAGGAGTGAGGACGTTTGTAAAGGGAATGTAGTCCACAACCGAAGGGTGTGGTCGTTGAGAGCAACTGCTTCCTTCTTCCTGCCTTGCTAACCCCAGGAGGCTGGCATAGCAGCAGATCACAAAAGATGAAGCAGTCTTGCCCCTGTCTCCAGGAGGTCACAGCTTGATTCCAGGCAGGCCCAGAGGTACCTGCTTTGCTCTTCACCTTCTTCATCCTGCACAGGAGATGTCTCCAAGGCACAGGGACACTGAGAAGAGCAGGACACTTAGCTGCTCTCTGACAGCCCCACAACAGGGCCTTAAGCTGCCTTTCTTGGGCGTCAGGATCCCAGGAGCCTGGATGTTCAGGCACCTATGGAGCAAGACAAAAAACATCCCAATGAACAGCTAAAAATACAGGGATCACATGATGTGCATGCTACTCACACCTGTAGCCTGCCGCTCACATTTCCCTGGCCAAATCCTCGAGAGCCTCCGTATAGAACCAGTGCTTGCCCCAAGCAGGGCAGCTCAGGGTAGCACCAGGCCCACCCCACTGTCAGCCCCCAGTGCCCAGGCCAGACCCCAGCAAGAGAGCTGAGGACCAACTCTCAGAGTGCCATCCTGGGCACCCACACATACAGCCACCTCATGGCCGTGGCCATAGCCGTGACTGCATTAGCTGCTCTTTGTTGAGCGCTACTAGGCTACAGGCCCTGGTGTGGAAATTCGGCATGAATTAGCTCCTGTGGTGGTGGGGCACCATCCTCATCCTCACCCCCAATTTGCCGAGGAAGATGCCCCCAGGTCCCAGGATTGGAGCCAGCCCATGCAGGTTGCTGCCTCCCTTTGCAATAGCAAAGAGTGGTTTAGCCAGAAACTTCTGGGCTGCTCTGATCTGGCTCCCAAAGCAGAGAGAGAAGAACAGGGTCCCCTCTGCTACCTACTACAGACTCTGCTTGGGGAATAATGTTTTCATGCTGTTGGCCCTCATGGGACATAAAAAGGCTTGTCCATTTCCTATCAATAAACCAAATATTGGTTTCACAGGCTCTGCAAGATGGCCCAAGATTAGTTGAAAAAGGAGAATTTATATGAGTACAATGTGCTTAGCAGATGGTGTTGGAAGTCATATCCAAGGTGCAGGAAACTGGACTGAAAGCCCGTCTTGGTGGGGCCTATTTGGATGCAAAAAAAAAAAAAAATAGTCTGGGCTTCTGAGTTGAGTCTGGGTCTTGTTCCACCTAAAATGTTCCCTGTGACCTTGGTCAGAATGCTCAACTTCTCTGAGCCTCAGTTTTCTTTTCTGTAAAATGGGATTTGTGGTGTTATATTGTGGGTTATCCCTCTCCAGAGATGTAAGAACACTGTGGAGAACATAAAGCAGGATTCTGAGGGTATCCAAGGATGGGGGACTTGGCTAGGTCTATTCTGGTTGGAGAGGAGGTCACACTGCTCCCCTTAGAAGCCTGACTTTACCTAAGTGTCTCGGGTCAGGAGACTCCTCCTTCCCCAAGTTTATCAACAAGCAACCCAAAGCTGGGCCAGGAAAGGGTGAGACTCTATTTAGTGGTTTCTCAGAGGGTGGCAGAATGAGGCCCAGGCTGCAGAGTGACACTGTAGGTGTCATTTGCCCTGGGAGACTCAGCCAAGAGGAGGTGCAAACTGTCACCAAAGTTACACGTTTCCCTTTCCCAGGTTGCACATTCCTATTTACACTCGCCCTTCCCTCTGAGGGGCTTGCAGAAGGCTCATCAGCTCCCTTCTTCACACAGGGAGTACGACACCTAGTGTCACGGAGCTGGCCTGGGACTCTGGCCACTCGTGTCCCCCTTCATCCAGCCTGGAACTCCCCCACCTGCCAGGCTATGGAGATGGGCCCCTCCTCACAAGACCTGAGCCCAGATTGTCCCTGGAGAGTTCATTTAGAAAACAGCGCAATGGCCGGGCATGGTGGCACATACCTATAATCCCAGCACTCAGGAAGTTGAGGCAGGAGGATCACAGTGAATTGGAGGCCAGGCTGACCCTGTCAAAAAAACCAAAGGAAAGAAAGAGGCAAACAGAAAGAAAGAAGGAAAGAAAAAAGATGAAGGATGGAAGGAAAGAAGGAAGAAAGGAAGGAGAAAGAGAGAAAGAAGAGAGCATGGCATGGGTCTAGTGCAGGACTGGCTTGCCCCACCCCCCAGATCCAGGTCACATGTCTCCTGCTGTTGAAGGAACACAGTACCATGCCTGCTTCCTGAGCTGTCGGCACCTCCTGGGGACGTCCATGGTGGGTGACAAAGGCTGGGCCCAGAGCAGCCGGCTGAGGAGAGAGGGTAGGGCCAGACGGGTCCCAGCACCCTGCACAGACAGGAAGCACTCCACCATCCCTCCAGAGCTCCTTCCCCCAAGGCAAAGGTGGCAAACGCAGCTGCCCTCTGAGCTCAGGCAGATCGCCAGAGTGACAGAGAAAGGGTAGGGAAGGTGGGATCCAAGGCAACCAGAAAACTCATGCCCAACATAAATGAGTGGCCACTCCTGCCCCAGGAATGTGGGCCCAGTGTTGCCGGGGCTCACCATGGTTCAAGAGCCACCGATCCAAGTTTGGTTCACCAAGTCCCCTGCCCCATTCAACAGTGAGCTGAACAAAATTCCATGAACTCTGGCCTATGGATCTCACTTGATCCTCTGGTTCAGGTGGCCAAAAACCGCAAAGAGCTGAGATAGGAAACAAGGAATATCTCTTCCCATTCTAGGGCTGAGACTGAGGCCTAGAGAGATGACTTGCCACACAGAGAGGGTGGCAGAGAACCCCCAGGCCAGCTGGCCCTGAGCCCTGGGAAACGGCCACTCTGGGCAGCAAGTCCTCTCTGGAAGCCTCACCGTTTGGGGACCTGAAGTCTTGGTGCTCTTCTCACTGCCACCAGTCCCTGCATGTAGTCACCACCACCACAGATGCATCACCATCACGCCACCATCGCTCCCACTGTCAGTGTCACCTTCCCTGCACAGCCCACAGTGGGGCCTCTCACAGGGTGCATGGCTCGGGCTGGGGCCTCTCTGCGGCTCTGGGGTCTCCTCTCTAACACTTGTCTCCATGAACCTCAGGGTGAGCAGGGCCAGGCTGGCATCCAAGGGCCACCAGGGCCACCAGGGCCCCCTGGACCAAGTGGACCTCTGGGGCACCCAGGATTGCCAGGGCCCATGGGACCACCCGTAAGTATCCCCTCCCCCTCTCCTTCAAGATTTGCCCCAAGAATTCTCTGCAAACCTCCAAGCCTTGAATGACCAAGGAGAACCTGGCTTCCCATCCAATGACAGAAACACCTGAGCAAGGCCCCTGGGCCATGGTAGCCCAGATAAGATTATCCATCCCTGGCACACTCTCCTGCTGCCCTGGAAACACACCTGCCATGGCCACAGCCGACCATGGCTTTCTAGGGCAGAGGTCACTAATAGGCTGACCTCTTCCCAGTCTCCACAGAGGAGCTAAGAGGGAAAATCCCCATGGCTGCCTTTGACCACTGTCCCTGGCCCTTGGCTCAGGAAAACCCAAGTCAGAAACAGTAGGTTCTAGAAAAATTCAAAGGGGGTGCACCACAGTCCGGACCCAGATGAACACCTTCTGGGGTGTGTGTGGTTTCACGTTTGGGCCACCTTCACTGAGACCCTGCATCGAGCCTGAGGGCTGACAGGGCTACTGCTGGGAGGGGTCCAGAAGGCCAGCACCCTTTTCAGGCCATGATTCAAACTCGGTGGCCACCAATCATCCATTTTCAAGCCCTGGCCAAGACCTTGTCCTTGGCCCTTTAGTTCCACAGAGCCCAGAACAGAACAACTCAGTGGGAGCTGGGTGTCTTCAGAGAATTGAGCTGTCCACTACAGAGAACACTGACTCTCTGTGTGATCCAAAGGCCAGCAGTTACAGCAGAGTCACCTTGCCTTTTAATACTGCTTTTCCCATGGGCTGAAAATATAGACTTGTTTTTCCTCTGATGGTAAAAGCATCAGACACTCACTTGGAAAAACTTGGAACATTAAAAAGGAAAAATGAACATATCCCCTGTTTCCCCACATCCAGAGTCCACCTCATTAGCATTTTGGAGGTTCCTTCCCTTTTTCTCCCCTGCAGACCTGCCCATAAACACTCTCCAGGTTGGCAGGGTTCTGAATGACCTAACAGTTTGCATCAGAAGCTTCTTGATTAATGGCATAAAGCGAGCCCTTTGCATGTCAGGAAGGAGTCTCCCACAGTAGCAATTGCAGAGCTGCTGGGCCTGCTTAGACAGTGTTGAATGAGTCCCCTGCTGTGACCCATAATCCTGGAACATAATGTCTACACCTCTGAAGCGTTCTCTGGGATTGATCCAGAAGTGGAGCCGCAATACCCCTCAGTGGACACGGGCACGTTCTAGATCAGCTGGCTTCATGCCTGGGCCCTCAGCTACCCCCACTACCCATCTGGAGGCCTAACATAGGGTCCCTCTGGGCTGGGCTCTGGCTTGGCTGGCAAGCTCAGTGCTGCAGTGTGAGGGCCTAAGTTGTTGGGAGCTGGCTCCTAGCTCAGTTGGGCCCCCAAGTGGATTTTAAATATTTCCATAATTTTCCCCAGCCCCCCCAAAGAGAGAGATTAGTCTCACTTCTACCAGTCTTTAAATGGAAAAATGGAAAACCTGAAAAGAAGTGAATTTAGAAAATTGAACCAAACCAAGCCAAAAAGCCCAAAAAGTGTTCAAAATTCATTTCTTTGTTCACCATACCCTCCTGCCCAGCACACTCCTGCTTACTGAGTTCGAGCTAGGAAGTCTTTGTTAGGTTGTTTATTAAGGAAAAATCCAGGGGGCCAGGGATTTAGCTCAGTGGTGCTGCTGCCTGCCTCAAAAGCACAAGGTCCTGAGTTCGATTCCCAGAGGAAAAAAAGAAAGAAAAAGCCCAGAAAGTGAGTTTTCAAACCAATTGAAACAGAGCAGACGTAGGTGTCATGTTTGTCTCCCGCCCACGTCTGCAGCTGGGCCTCCTGGCCTCTCCCTTGGGCTTCCTTGGGCCCCTCGCCCCACCCCCCCCTCCATGGCGAGCTGCCCTGGTCACAGCACACTGGGCAGAGGGAGACAGCAGGCAAGGCCAAGGCGCAAATCAAGGCCTTGTTGGCCAAGGCCGGCTTTCCAGGGAGGCTCCCAACTGGGAGGTGAGTGGGTGAGGATCCAGACCAAACCACACTGTCAATTTAGCGTGATGCCACTGACCTACTTTCCAGTGGACAAGCACAGAGGAGTTGCCCACAGTGCCCACACGGCTCCAAAGAGGGACATGAGCCCGCTGTCCCCACGTGCCCTCCACAGGTTTCCGTTACCCTTCCGGGATATTCTAAGGCTGTGCTCTAGCATTCCTGTTCTCTCGTTAGTTATCTGGGGGTCACTGGGCCCCAGTTCCACTATAAATGCGACTGAACTCACACTTACCTTTGACTTGCTTCTGCAGGGCTTACCTGGGCCTCCAGGACCGAAGGTAAGAACCCACCTCATAGAGGCTTGCACTGGGGGACCATTGCTGGAGGGAAGGAGGGTGGGAGGCTGCTGAGGGCAGAGCTGAGTGAAGCAAGATGGATCAGGCTTGGCTCACTTCCAAAACACTGCTTTTGGCTCCAACATGTATAGCCCTTCCTGTGCACTCAGGGTGACTAGCAAGTTCTCCAGCTGCCATAGACAGAAGACAGTCCTGCCTGCCAGAAAGCTTATGTTCTAGTCAGAAACTGAAACCGGTTGCCTATGACATGGTCACAATATCCCAATCCCACAGTGTCCTGCAAGGTGTCAGACCTGGAAGAGGCCTCTGGGGTCATCTGATCTCTTGTGAAACTTTGCCCAGAAGCCCACAGTGTCTAAAAGATCCTCATTTTGAAGCTGGGGACCCAAGGCTCAGGGAATGAAAGGTGCAGAGTGTCAATCCTCTCCTGCTATTTTGACACTGTGGATGCCAAGAGCCCTGAGACAGTGACTTGTCCAGGTTCTAAGAGGGTTGTTGGTGGAACCAAAAGCAGCAGTCAAGTATCCTCAGACCCTGCCAAGCTGACCCTTCCCAGAACTCCTCGGCCCTGTGCAGTGGCCGAACAGTTTCTGTTGGCCTCAAAGACACCAAGAGCTGTTATCCCAGGGATGGTGGGAGGTGGGTTTTGAAGGAGCAGGAGGATTTGGAGTCCTTGGGAGGAAGAGGGATGGTATTGTGCAGGGAACAGCACCAACCAGTTTGGCACTGAGAAACCCACTTGAATGGACTCTTTGTTCCCCTAGGGAGACCCAGGGATCCAGGGCTTCCATGGCCGGAAGGTAAGAAGGAGGAGGTGGGGAGAACCCTGGCTCTCCCATGGGTACCCAGTGGGCCTCACACAGCACACACAGGCCCAGGAGTAGGTAGTACACAATGCAGATCTGCACATACACTGCCTCGTGAGCCTCACAACTCCTAGGTATGGATTGTGAGGGCTCAGTATATCTACTTGGGGAAGGAAGAGGCACACAAGGAGCTGGGCCTTGGGCAGGTAGGTGGCCCAGCAAGACCCCAGGCCCAGATGGTTTCTGGCCAACCTGAGTGACTGTGTCTGGCCTGAGGGAGCCAGGTTCTATGGGTCTGATAAGTTAGGAGCAGGATGACTGTGCCCACCTCCCCAGTCCAGAGGTCCATGCTGAGTTTGGGGTCATTCCTGCCCCCGACAGCTCCCAGGCCCAATGGACAGAAATATTTCTACACAAATGGCCCTGACAGGAGCAGACTGTGCTAAATGCGACCATTGGAAGGTACTCTGTGAGTCCAGGGGTGGAGAAATTAGTTCACGATTGGGAAGAGTTTGGGAAGTCTTCTGGGAGAAGACAGCCAAGAGCTCAACCCTGATGAGTAGGTATCACTTATCTCTTGCTGTGTAACAAGCTATCCCAGACTTGCTGGCTTAAAATGATGATTCATTCCTTCTGATTCTGTGGACTGAGGAGCTTGGAGTTCCTCCAGTCTCACCCAGATTCCCCTTTGCTATCAGATGACAGCTGGGGGCTAAGCCAGCCTGGGGCACGTGCGTGTGTCTGACAGTCAGTGCTGGCTGGTAGCTGAGGGCCACTGCTCTCCTCTTTGTGACCTCTTGTCCTCTAGTAGGCCACACAGGCTTCCTCATAGCATGGTGAGCCAGGGCAGCATGCACATTAGGTCACCCCAGGACATAAGCACGTTCTCGACATCTGTTTGCATCAGGTTGTCCTGGTGGTCAAAACAAGTCATGTGACCAAGTCCCATGCATCAGCATGGGAGGGGTATGGTCTGCAATCCTTGATTGGAGGAGTAGCAAAGCACTTATGTCCATTTTTAAGCCACCACTGTGGTCCTTCAGCTGGTAAATTTGAAGGGATATGGTATTTTAGATGGCAAAACAATTGGAGCAAGGCCCAGAAGCAGTCATTACAATAACTGGAGCCACAAAGTAATACTCAGTAATACTCACTACTTCCTGGGCACCTGCTATGTGTCAGTCACTATCCTTCAACATGTCCTGCATTCTTTCTAACCCCCAAACCGCCCTGAGGCAGGTATGACTATGTTCCTGTTTAGCAAAGGCAGAAACAAGCTTACTCAAATCTCATTGCTTGGAATAGCACCACAGGAATTCAAGTTGCATCTGGGTCCTTCCTGTGGTCCCACCTGCTGGAAGGCCCTTCCCTAGCCCTCTGGCCCTGGCTAGGAAGCCTCAGGAGCCTTCCGGGGGAGGAAAGCAACAGGAAGGAGAGGCACGGAGAGGGGAAGGCGAGCTAGGACCCCTCCACTCAGACGCAGTCCTTGCATATTGCAGTTGGGCAGCTGCCGTCGCCACTTTGTTTTATGGGTGCTTGGAGGGTGAAATGGTGAGACCTGAGAGATCTTTAATTAGTTCTGCATAAACTGAGAAGTTTGTATTGTGTCAGGAAGTGGAAATTATAGCCCCTGTGGTTGCCTCTATCCATTCATGCAGACTCACAAAATTTACTGCCTCCTGGTGCAGTGCAGGGTCAGTTTTCCCATTAGCAGCTGGACCAACTCTTTCAAGCTGTGACAAGGCTGGGGCCAGCAGAGGGGCCCCAGAGGCCATGGCAGTGCCCTTGGCTGGCATCATACCATGACAGGTGTCTGCATCTGCTGCAAACCGGAAGTCTGGTTCTTCTAAAAGGTTGTCCTAGGGATGGAGAGACTTCCACTGATGGCTCCAGCATTGTGATGCTAGTGGGTCTGGGCCAAGAAAGTGACAGTTCTAGGTGCAGACTGTAGCAAGAATCATTCCACCCAGGCTGTGTCAAATGTGCAGAGAAAAAAGTGTGGTCCTGCTGGCTGAGAGCAGCTCCTGGCCCCAGGAAGCCAGGAGGTTTGCTCTGGGTAGAAAAGTAGGCTGCTCAGGCTGTCACGTGCTCTGGAGTGAAAGGCCAGGCCATGCTTCTTTCTCATGACTGGGAGATGGAGCAAGTGCCAATGGACGACTCTCCAGATAGAGCAACTCCAGGTCTGCTGGAGGAGCTTCCTAATGGTACTGCAGGCAGAGGAACTAGTGGTCTGGGCTGTGTTAAAAGAAGTTTCTATATGAAGCTGGGGGCTGCTTAGGATCCCTTCCAGCTCAGAAACCCATGGTTTCCTGAACACCGGCTGGCTGAACATTCTCTAGAGGAGCAGACCCTGGCTGTGGGAGGAAACTTGATCTCCTCGATCTTTTGTCCTTCTTTTTAACCCACATCCAGGCCTGTCAGAGACATTCTGTATTAGAGCCCTTTCTCTTCGTGCCTGTTCCTTCTTTCTCTGCCATGGTACGCAGCTCTGCCCTTCCACGATGACCTTTTCTCATGGCTATCTAGTGGGGCTATGGCCCTGAGTCCCCCCTGCCTCTCTGGTCTTTGAAAGACTCCCAGCCATCAGCCTCACACAGTCAGCTAGGCTGCAGGTGGTCTCAGCACCTACAAATCCATGCTACCCCTCACTCTGCTGGGACCCTTGTCCTGTCACCAATGCCCCAGTGCCTTCTGGTCTACAGCAGCCAGAGAGCACTGGAACCTGATGATCAATAGCACAGGCCCACCCCCAAGAATCAGGGCCTTTCCTCAGGACACCCTAAGGCCTGTTCTACCGCCCCAAGCCCATTAGAATGGGCATGTTGGCCTCAGTGATCACCAAGCTAAGGCAGATATTTGCATCCCCTCAGCATCCTAGGATGCAGAAACTTTTGTCTTTGATGCCCAAAGATTCGTGCAGCAATACTTCACATCTCTGTATCAGCCTAAGTTCAGCCCCACCCTGTCTCTTTCAGTCCCTGCCATGGCCCAGTGGTTGGCGCTTCATCAACCCCAAGGCACAATGAGAGGCCCAGAGGGGTTATTACAAGGTTGCCAAGCTGGTGAATGGCCACTCTGGAATTAGCAGCCAGGTCTCATAAATCCAAGCCCAGCAGCAGACCGACTTAGCCTGCCCTCACTTCGGCTTCTCCAGGCTGGGACAGCTGATCCCCAACTCCCTTCCTTTGCCCAGCACTCCCCTTTCTCTGTACTGCCCTCTCTGCTCTCTGGAATAGGGTGTGGGGAAAGGCCTCATGGGGAGGGTACTTGGTCACAGATGCTGGGAAGATGAGTCTGCTCCCACCCCCACCCCACACCCTGGGGAGAAGCTGACACTGGCCGCTGGGAACATGGAACTGAGCAAAGTGACCCCCACCCCATGGTCAGGGTGCCAGGGGACCTACGGAGGGACAGATGGGCCCTTTTTGTGAGCTTCACCTGTGCCACTCCAAAGACTTACTACGCACTGGGAGGCCCTTCCTGCAACACAATGTAGAGTTTAGCTTCTCAGCCTGTGAAGTTTGCTAATGATTAGTCCCATCCACCGGTGTCACCCACTGCCAGCCGGACTGAGCCTGGTGTCTTCTCAAAGGCCAGCAGGGCCAGCTTCTCCACTGGCTGCTTAAGATCAAAACCCAATGTGGCCAGCTGCCCTCATATGGCCCCCACACCCGCCCTGGGCCAGCCCTCCTGCCTAGACACTGCGAGTATTATTGTGCACCCATACGGTGCCTATTTGATCCAAATTTATGACACAGATCTACTTTAAATATGTTGCAAGATGCAAAGTGTGTTTACAGCCATGGCTCTCTGTCACAAAGATTGATGAATGTTGTCAGACAGATGAGAGTCACAAACCCCGAAGGAGCTTATCTCTAAGTGCATCAGAGCTGGTACTTGTCTCGCCATGGGGGTGCGCTGGTCACCCGTGTGGTCTGGGTATTGTGCCTCAGGGTTTGCATGAAGGACCCTGGCTGAGGGTCCTTCAGCCCTCCTGTAGCCCTCAAGCCAGGCAATTTTAGACCAGAGGAGGGGGGACACCAAGGCCTTGCCACAGCCACTGGCAACTGTAATTACTCTGCCTAGAGGCTTTGGCAACAGTCCCCAGAGGCAAGGACACCCAGGGGAAGAGATCAAATGGTGCTTCCTCACTTCTTCTACCACAGGGGGTGACGATTCTGACTGCTAGTCAGGAAGAGTTCATGGGGTGGATGTAAGCCTATAGAATGATGACCAGCATTGTTATAACTGCCTCTCTGGGCCCCTTCCACATGCCAGGCTGGGTACCCAGTACCTGCCTGCACCATTTTACTTGCTCTCTGTGGCAGTCCTAGGAGATGGGCATTACTCTTGTCCCAGTTCATGGATGAGTGAAGTGAGGCTCACAGAAGCTGCTCCACCATCTGCAGCTAGGAAGTCATGAAGCTGGGTACCTCTGGCTCACAGCCTCGCTCAGAATGGCTTTACTACCTGTATCTTGCACTTGGCTGAGTGACACAGAGAGTTGGGGTTGTCCCTGACCGCTGACACAGACAGAGCAGTGCGTCTCAAGCCCGGTGACATCTGTTCCTGAAAGCTTCCTGCACTGGGCACTCCCGGAGGGCCCTAGTGACCCCAGGCCTCTTCCCATACATCAGAGGGCTTGGTACCAATGGGAGCCTGTGGGTGTGGGGACAGCATTTTCTTTCAAAGCCACGAAATCCTAGTGGGGACATCCAGACCATTTAAATGAAAGCAGATTAAAAAAAAAACTGAGACACGGGCCCCAGATCTGAGGCCTCATGGGGGCTGGAGCCCCCACCCTGTGCTCTCCAGGCCCTGTTTCTCCTGCATTCCAAAGTCCACGGATTAATTAGAGCTGACTTTTTCTTTTTGGAACTAACTACAAAATCAACCGATCTCAAATTGAGATTACAACCCAGCTGCCCTTCCAAAGCCCTGCCCTTCAATAGGGCACCCGACCCCGGTAATTCCCCAGATCACTTCCTGCTGGCCCTAATTACTGGAGCACAGGGGACCTAGGATTTCCGTGGTTCCGGTCCTCTCTGGCCTGGAGGCCCACCGGGGCAGTGAAACAGGAACTCTGCTCTGTTCCCGGAAGGATGGCCTGGGAACTCTTTAGAGGGGAGAAAGGCATACGACCCCCAGCTTCTCCAGCCCAAGACAGGGCCCTCGACCACTCCCCACTCTCAGATGCCCTCCTCCTCCCCGACAGAGAACAAAGGCTCTGTGTGCCTTGTCTGCTCCCCAGAAGACCCCCTCCCCACAGCCTCGTGGCAGGGAGGTCCATTCATCTCCCAGCCTCCACCTGACCTTTGTTGGCTGGGAAGCTGACCCTGAAGCGCCCCCTTCCTCTACACCCTCTTCTTGCCAACTTCCTGCCCAGCTTGTTCAACAAAAAGTAAATCACCAATTAAGAGGCCACTTGCACACAGCCCAACACAGCCCACTCCATCCTGTCCTCTCCAGAAAGGACAGGTCCTCCCACCTGGAGCCTGCGAGACCAGAGGACCCACTGGTGCTAGACGCTGGGGAGCCTTACCTGTAGCTCCTAAGTAGGTACTAGATGGGCCTTCCAGTGCAACCCCTCTACCTAACCTGTTCCCCTGACCTTCTTAGCTGCAATGTCTGCAACCCATCCCATCCCTCCAGGCATCAGTTCTTGGCACCAAGGTTAAAGAGCCCTCCAGAGGAGTAGCCGGTTGCCTCTGCCCACTGTACGTGGGCAAACAGGTCAAGACCCCTTATAACGCTCAGAGCACCACCTTCCCAGCCGCAAGATTGCCCATATTGGTGGCTGAGCCTCCCCACCAGGAAGACAAAGGAAGGCAGAGGTAGAGAAATAGGGGCCCACATGGGCTTGGATAGACTGACAGAGCCAGGCCCTTGAAGAGGAGCGCAGATCTGAGTGAGCAGATTTGAACTGAGCAGTTCCCAACCCACCTCCTTGAAGTAAGGCATTTTAAGGGCCTTGGAAAAGGATGCGCTGGGCAGATCTCACAAAGATGTGCCACAGGGAACCACTCCATGAACAACATGGTCACTGTCCTTCAGCAACTGCCAGTGCTCTGTCCTCTGCAAGTGCACCCTGTCACAGCCCGTGGGCCCCTGGAGGAAGACTGGCCCTGCCTCCCCTCACCCACTCTCCAGGAAGCAGTGTTTCCTGGTCTAGGGGAAGCCCAGGCCTCCAGTTCAGAGGCCAGGCTGGGGCAGCCTAGACTGGAGCCCTGAGCATGGAGACTAATGAGAGTAGGGTGAGCTGAAGGGGGGTCAGCAGGGCACCCCTGCTTCCTGACCTGACATGGGGATCAAGGGAGTGGGTCATTTGCAGAATGAAGAGACTTGACCCCGAGGGGAGGAGCGGGGCAGAGGTCACCACCCTAATGAGCAAGGCTGCTCCCCGGGAGGCTCCCAGGGGCCGTTTCCAGTGTGTGCACAAATTCTTCTTTACACACTCAAGTCAACGTGGGCTGAAGGCGACTCCAGCTAGCCCAGACAGCTGCCTCCTGGGGTACTCAGCACAGTTTCTTCTGAGATGTGTATGATGCAGAAGCCTGGCTTCTTCCCGGGCTAGACTGTCCCTCTGTGGGTGGAAGGAGGAGAGAGTAGGGCCTCACTGCCCTTCCTGGACCTGTATTTCAGCCAGAGCTCAGAGTCCCTCCCCCAAGAAGCTGCCAACAGACCAAGCATCACCCTAGCTGTGGTTCCCTCCCTCCTACAGGCTGAAGAGGTGCAAGGGCGGGGCTGGCCGGGTGGAGGTGGGGAGCAGGTACCTGGTCTAATCACACTGTGCAAGCCAGGAGCCTGGGCCCGGAGAGGGAAAGTGGACACACGGATGCCCCAAAGGCCGTGGGAAAAGGAGGACTCTTCGGGGCTGGTGCAGACAGGGGAAGGGGAAAGAGGGTCAATCGAGAGGGCTCTGAACAGTGGGGGACTTCCAACCTGACCTTCCACCTGCGGCCCCCACCGGGAGGCTCTCTCTGGGGCCTCCTGGCTCAGTCGGCCTGGTGAAGTCGGCTGGAATGTTAGAAGACCCGGCACTCCAAAGGGAAGCTGGCCTCCTGGAGGCCACTTGGACAGCGGTGGCAAGAATTAGACTTCAGGTGAGGTCCTGTGGCACCCTCTGCTGGCTGCAGAGCAGCCCTGCACTCGCAGGAGCCCCACGTCCAGCTGTTCTTGGTGCCCCAGGCTGAAATGCCTTTACCCCAGGGCCATGGACCTGGGGACCCAGCAGAGAAAGAGCAGCCTGCCACGACTATCTGATGGAAGAGGATGGAACATCAGATTGTCTGATGTCAGGGTGGCCACGAGACAAGAGCACCTAGACCTGGGCAGAGAGCAAAATTGTTCAAAGGCCTGCTCTGCACGATCCTGGCAAGCATCCCTGGCCTCTCTGAGCCACTGCTTAGCAGCGAGACAGGAGGAACATCTGCTCCACATTAGAAGGGCCCTTGGAGATGGACGGGGGACTCAGAAGGGCAGCATCACGTGCAAGGCACGTGCAGTCAGGGCTGTGCCTTTCTCTGCTCTTTCCACAAGAGAGAACTTAAGGGTTGGGACAGGCCTGGGGCACCAGTTTGACTGCTGTGGTCACTTCCTGAGGCCAGCTCTGCCACCCCTTCCAGGGGCTGAGGGGTCACTGTCAATGGTGAAGAAAGGGTTTGACACTTGGAGCTAAACATTCTGGCCGTCTGCAAAATTCAGAGGGTGAAGCTGAAGTTCACAGGCAGATGTCCAGCTATGTGTGCAGGTTTTAAGTCCAAAGTGATCCCCGAGGTGTTGAGCAACCAGTACTGAGTCCTGGGAGACAGCAAAGGGCTTCACAGAGGGGCAGGAGTTGACCACAGCCCAAAACAGTACACAGGGGCTTGTGATGAGGAAATGGCAGAAAGGCATGGAAGCGTGACAATGGGTGTTTGCAGGGACACAGATAATAGTTGATGTACTCCAGAATGAGAGGTACAGAGGTTAGGAAGAGAGTAGGTGTCAGAATGCCATGCCCAGGAACCTGGCCCTTTTCCCATGGTCGGTGCCCGACAGAGAAGACTGGGCAGGGGAAGCTCCTCACCTGGCCCACGTGTTGGAAGGTTGCCCGGTTGCCAGCCCGGGACCCATCACCGAGGAAGAGAATGGAAGTCACTCTAGCCTGGACCAGGAGGAAAGAGGACCAAGACTTACTGTAAGATGGCAGAGAAGGGGGGAGCAGACAGCTGAACTGGTGGCCCCTGCCCCGAGGCCTGTGAGAATGCCAGCCTGGTCCACAGGTCCAGCACTCAGACCTCATAGGGCAGCTTCCTGGGAGCAGGCCCGGCAGGGCTCTGGGTGGCCTATCCGCAGCCCTGGACTTCAGGTGGAGAAGGTGCAGCAGGCTGGCAGCTGTCATCTTTGCCGGATAGCACCATGGGCCCTGACTGCAGCTTCGCGCTGGGGGATCCTTCAAGGTTCAGCTCATGGAGAAAGGAGCTGCCCTTCTTCCCCTGATGTGGCCAGTTAAAGTCTCGACACACCTACCTTTGGCCCATTTGTCACTGATTTTCTCTCCATCTCTCTGTGGTGCATCCATCCTTCCTGCCTCACTCCATCCTATCAATACAGCGGTGTCACCAGGTGCTAAAGAGGTTGAAGGTAAAGAGCAGGGCTGAGATGGCAGAGCAAAGCCCACAACATTCTGGAGAGGCCGCAGCTGGGCTGGTGCCTCAGGACAGGCAGGGCCAGGAAGGGCTGTGAAGTGGGCACATGTGGGCCTGGGTCCAGGCATTAGAAAAGTGAGGCCCAAGGTGACGAGAAAGGGGACCCCCTGTCACAGACACAGGTACCATCCTAGCCCATCTGGTGCAGAAAAAGGGGACACAAAGTAGCAGGCAGGGGCTGGGGGAGGGGTCAGTAGTCAGCAGCCATGTGCGTTGCGCCTGCCCATAGCCCTGTCTCACAGTACTACAATCCGAGTCCACCTGGCCATCCAGTGGCAGTGAGTCTTGAGCGTGACACCTTCCTCTCTGGGCTCAGATTCCATTGGGTGGCCTCTGTCTCTGAGGGCCCTTCCTGCTCTGAATCTGACTTGGTGTCCTGTAACTGAGGGGTGTGCCCCACACAGCTGTGGCCACAGCAGGATGCTCAGAGCTCACAGGGAGTTGGACAGCCATGCAGCTTCCAGGCAGGCATGCTCACTGACATCTTTGCAGGGCACAGGCCCTGAGTCTGGCCCTGCTCTCATGCTCTTGTTCCTTCCTGCAGGGAGAGCGGGGCATGCCGGGGATGCCGGGCAAGCATGGAGCCAAGGTACCTGCCCCTCACGCACCCCAACCCACTCCCTCTCAGTCACCCCCTTGCCCACGGTCTGGGGAACCCCTGCAGTCCCAGCTCCTCCTTGGAGCTTGAGTGTGTCTTGTGCCTTGCTGGAAAGATGAGGTACACACTTCCTCTACCCTCTTCTCTGCCGAGTTTGCCTGGCCTCCTCCTTATGTGGCTGGACCTCTTCCCGGGGTCTCTGAGTCATAAAACCCTTCTAAGGTAACTCAGATCTGGCTGCAGTCCTGAGACCCAAACGGGGAGTAGAGATCCCCAAAAAAGTCACCTCCACTTTGGATTTCCTGAGCAGCACTCTTGGGCCAATGTGAGAACAGAGTTCACTCCTAGCCCCCTCCAGTCCTTGAGGGCAGCGGTCCGGAGAAGAGCCGATGAGGGTGACCCCACATACACACGGGGCCAACTGCACTGGGTAGCACCAGCCCCTTCATTTAGTGTCATTTGCTATCCTCCCCTCCCCGGTACCTTCCATACCACTGCCCAACCCCCTCCCATCTCTTCCTCCTCTTTCATTGTTCCCTCAACCCAGGACACCCCCTCTAGCCCAACTACCCCGCTATGGTTCCTACTATGCCTGCCAGTGCAGCCCAGGAAGTCCAGCAGCTGGGCTGCCCCACACCTCGTCCTCAGATGCCCTCTTAGGGTGCCAAGCTCAGCACTGGGCTCTCCTCACTCCCAGGAGCAAGCAAAAGTGACAGTCCTCCCCCTGTCCTGCCAGGAGGAGACTGGCCACCTTCTCCGTGCTGCTTCTGACTGCAGAAAGCCTTCATGCCTTTTTCTCTCTCTGCCAGGGTGCTCCTGGGATCACCATGGCTGGGATGAAGGTCAGTAGATGTTGTCACTCCACCCATCAGGGTAGGATGGACGAAATGGTGCCCAGGACAGAGCAGGGGCATCAGGGGCTCTGTGGGCTGGCCGCTGGACCAAGTAGAAGACACACAGGATTAGGAAATGTTTTGCATGCCAGATGCACAACCGAGAAACAGACATTTAATTGACCCTTGCGTGCAAGTGGCAAAGTCTTACCAGCCTGGGCAAAGCCTTCCCCAGCCTGAAGCTCTTTCCTATGTGTGCTAGAACTCAGCAACTACATGCTTCCAAAGCTGCAAGAGGTGACAGCAGAGGGGCTTTTCCCCTGAACCTCCACCCCAACACCCATTTACCTGCCAGGCAGATGGGGGCACCCTAGAAGAACAAATGCTCAGCACAGATCTCTGCAGCAGGTCTACTTGGGGAAGGGGGTGCACCATGTCCAAACCAGAGGCTCTTTCCTTCTCCCTGCTGGATTATCCCACTTGGCTTCCACCTGCCACAACTCTCACCTATAGGAAGATGAGGGCCCTCCAAGGCAGGAGCCCAAGAGGCCTCTGGCCTAGCTGAGGAAAGCCAGGCTGGCCAGATGCTTTACCAACTCCCACTCCCCACGTACAGGGCACCTTTCCTCATTTGCTTGTGCTCTTTTTGTCTCACACATTTCTTTTCCTGAGTCTTCCTTTTGTTCACACAGGGTGAGCCAGGGATCCCAGGATCCAAGGTACGGATGCAGAAGGAATGCTCTGAGATGCATGACATGTCCACAGGGGAGGAGGGTGCTGGCAGGAGGGGGTGCTGTGTTTTGCTCTTAGTCACCCCAAGACCAGCCCGGGCCTGGCTGAGCCACTTGTCAGGAGCACACTTTCGGTATCCTCCTCTTTCCTGCATCCTGGCCTGCAGCCCGCCAGCTGCAGCGGGCAGTGGCTATTAACCCCCTTGTTCCCTGTACCTACAGGGCTCTCTTTCATTCTTGTCTAAGACAATAAGAGATGTAATGTGAAAAAATTTTTTCCCATGGTCAATTAAGTTTGAGAAATACTGGATTAACAATATTACACAGGTTTCTTTGCTGCAGGCCGTCTCAGAGCCTTTAAGATGCTAACCACCCATTGGGAAGCCCTAAACAGGCAGTATCTTATGCAACATTAACAAAACTTAGAAGAGGAACTCACTGGCGCAGCATTCTGGGAACTCTGGTCTCTGATCCCTGCCCATCCACCTCACTCAATGCCCCATTCTCTTATTGGTGACTTTCTCTTCTTACCTCAAAGGGAGACCCAGGAGCATCAGGAAAGCCAGGGCCCCTAGGTTTGCTGGGAAAGTGGGTGTAGAGGGTAAGACAGTGTATATTCAAGTGATCCCTTCCTGTTCCCTTCACCTATGGTGGGTGCGCTGGCTGCAGTGTGCCAGGAACAGAGAATGGCAGGATGGGCCAGCAAAGCTGAAGAATCCATGCTCAGAGCATGCTACCCCTTTTGGAAACCACTGACTACCCAGCAAATGTCCAGCAGATGGGAGAACCTGCCTTCTGTGTCCCTGCCCGCAGAGGGTCACTGCAGGGCAGGACCTGAGCCTTTCCCTTTAGACCGGTGTGTTTGGGGGGGATGCTCAGGCTGGGGAGCAGCCCAGACAGGGCCAGGCAGCTGGGGGCCTCCTCAGTCCTCACTCCCCTTCCATCTCCAGGGCCCTGCCTGGCCCTCCTCAACTCCTCTCGGATGTTTACAGGCCATTTTACCATTCAGCCTGTACCTAAGGGCACAAAGCAAGGAGGTGACACCTGGAGACTTACCATCTTTTGGGGCTCCTGCTGGAAAGTTCATTGAGACACCAGGCCACAGACACCATTATGGCCCCAGGACCTCCAGTTCATGTTATTGCCTCTGGGGACCATTGTTCCTCAGTGCCATGGAGACAGGCACTTCTCATGCTGATCTGAGACTAAGTCCCCACTGGGGGACACTCGGGGACTCACCTGACGGGGGACACTGATACGGACTGAATTATATTCCATCACATGTGTATGTTGAAGCCCTAGACTTCAACGTGACCATATTAGGAGATAGGGCTTTAGGAGGTAAGGAAGGTGACCTGAGGTCAGAAGGGTGAGTCCCTAATCCAATGGGACTGGGGGCCCTATAAGAAGAGGAAGAGAGATCTTTCTCTCTCGTGAGGACACAGTGAGAAGGCAGCCATCTGCGAGCCAGGAGGAGGGCATTGCCAGCACATGGCCTTGCTGGCACCCGACCTGAGACTTCCAAGCTCTAGAACTGTGGGAAGAGAGACCTGCTCTGCAGGCCCCCGGGATATGGGCTTTTGTTGTGACCTCCTGAACCAACTCGCACAGGCATCCTGTGAAGGCAAAGGGAAGAGTTTAGGCCACAGAAAGTGGAACCTCAGAAGACCTTGGGCTGGAAGGACTCTGCCACACACTCAGCAGGGAACCATCCCCAGGAACATACCCTCCTGGGGCCTGGCGGGCTTCATCTGTGAAATGAGACTAGGGTTCATAGGATCTCAAAAGTACTCCATGAGTCCCGTCCAGGGAAAATCAAAGCATTCTTCAGCAGTGGACACAGTTGGTGAAGGAACTGCCACATCAGAGGATTGGAATAGAACTGTTTGCTCATGGTTCTAGAGGCCCAAAGTTCAAAGCCAGCCGTGGGCAAGGCAGACTTCTGTAGAAGGCTACGAGAGAGCGTCTGTCCTGCCTCTCCTCTATCTGCTGCTGGTTTGGGCAATCTTTGGTTCTTGACTAGCAGAAGCATCCCCACTCCTCCTCCATCTTCACATGGCACTCGCTCTGTGTGTCCAACTATCCCATTTATAAGGAAACCAACACTGCTGAGGGCACCCCATCCAGTAGGACCTCACCCTAACTAATTACACCTGCAGTGACCCACTTTCCAAATAAGGCACCATGCTGAGGAACAAGGAGCTAGGACTCCAGCATTTGAATGTGGGGGAGCACAGTTCAACCTATAACAGAAAGTAAACTTCTCAAAATATTACTCTAAAGACGAGGTTCTGGGTAGATGGTCTTCGCCCCAGAGCCAGGAGGAGGTGAGCAGAAAAGGATGGGGGCCTCTGAGCTAGACAATGAGGGCGTGGAAGAGTTTCCAAGAAAAGACGAGCCCCCAAGTACTGGCTTTCTGAATGTCTCATCTCCCCTAGGAACCTCAGAAAGGTCTAACTGCTGTTGGCCTTGGTTGCGATCTGTGGCCAGCATTACTCCCCTGTCCTGAGTGAGGAGAGAAGAGGTCCTATGGGAAGCCGTGATAAAGGCTGTCACCAGGTGCAGTGGCCCAGGGAAGGGGCCAATCTGGGATGGGCTCTGGAAGGAAGTGGATGGCCCAAGGAGGCCCAGGTAGACAGGAAGGAGGAGAGCAAAGACATCCTGGAGAAACACCTCCTAACCTCTGCTGGCTATATCTCCCCACAGGGTGAGAAAGGGCCTGCTGGCTCCCCTGGGCTCCGGGGCCTCCTGGGACAGAAGGTAGGTGTGGGTGAGCTCGGAATCTGACTGTCTCTAAGACCTCCATGTCCTTCCCAGCCTTGCAAACTCCCTCAGGCCCCAGCATTGGAGGCGTCCGTCTCCCAGACTATGGGGAAGAGTGGCTGGACTGCAGCCAGATTCTGGCTGGGGGAGGGACACAAGACAGGCCCTGGTTGGCCAAAACATGCCCTAATTCAGAGAACCTAGTAACTATGACCTGGTCGGATTTCTTTCATACTCTGAAAACCTGGCCACACTCATACCTCTGAAAGGCATGTCATTTAAAGGCATTTTTTAAATGCAGCCATTTAAAACAGACTTGAGGTCAAATAAGTCTGTGAAGAGTTGCACCAGATAGGCCCCCTGGAAAGTCACATTGCTCCCCAGCCTGCTGGAGGCTCTCAGCACCCTGCAGTGAAGGGGCTGACAAAGCTTCCTGTCACTCTGCAGTTCTTCTCAACATAGTTTAGCCACCAGATCTTTTCTTCAAATTTCAAATATCCCCAACCCTCTCGGGTGTGTTCCATGGAATACACTTTGGGAAACACCATTCCAGCCCTGGTACTGATGGACCGATCCCTTGTTTTAGTTCTAAACCTGTCCCCTCGAGATCGCCAGTGTCATGCTCCCCTCAATCCCACAGCCAGGTCAGGCTAAGCTGGGGTCTGAAGACCTCTCTCGGGAGCCCCCAGGCTCTTTAGTGTCCCTTGGGACACTAAACTCCTTTAAACTGAGGGGGGAGGTAGCAGGTGAAGTGTCAACCACTCCAAGAGCTTCAGCACCCTGAGCCCTGACTCTGCCTTCCACCCTCAGGGAGAGAAGGGCGACGCTGGCAACTCCATTGGAGGAGGCAGGGGGGAGCCAGGTCCCCCAGGGCTCCCTGGGCCCCCTGGACCTAAGGTGAGTCTTTCCTGGAGTCGGTGTCAAAGGGGATGTCTGCCTGTAGTCTTTATTCTCAGCCCATTCGCAGGAACTCTGTGTCCTGGACACCTCGACTTCTCTAGCCTTCTCCTGCTCCAGGTGTGTAATTTTCCCCAGTGGATTCAGGAAAGGTCACATGGCCTAAGCTCCTGCTTCTAAGCAGGTGACCAACTTTCCAGGAGCCGTATTTCCCTGGGGTTCAGATGGCTCAGATAGAACTCAGTCAGGGACTGCTGGTCACAGGGCCTTAGCATAAGCGGGAAGCCCCCCACCTTGGCTCTGGATAAATTGCAGGTCAATGATCGGCTTAACCCCCCTGGTGCTGCCGTACTAGGGGCCAGGGATGGGGGGCAGCAGCAGACACTGCTGCTAATGGACCACCCTTGCTTTCCCCTCACTGGTTAAAAACTGCAATGGTGCAATTTGGTTTTCCCAGAGCTCATGCCTCCTGTGTTGCTGGTTTGTTTCAGCAGCAAGGGGAGATAAAAGAGGTCTCTTAGCTCACAGGGTGTGAATTACTCTACATGACTTGAGGCAATGTACTCGTTCACCCCACCAACATGTATCCAGGGCCCTGCATGGACAGTGGGACTGCAGAGAACCTGCCCTTGCTTTCTTCACAATCTACCAGGAAATACAAACCCATAACTCACAGGATAGAGTATAGGGAGCTGCATGAGTCCCTAGAGGCAGGCAGGCAGGGTAAATGGGCAGGCAGGGCCTCTGGCCAAGTCCACCTGCTACCCTGACCATGGCAGGAGCAGAGCTGCTGGGCAGAGCAGCATCTTCACCAATGGCAGCCCTGCCACCTGGCCCCAGAGCTATCCCACTGAGCCAGGGTGTAAGGCTTCCAGTGGCTTGGGTCTCAGCTGGGAGTTGGGGAGCTACACCACCATTGTCCTGCATCCTGGGACAAGGGGAAGGGAAAGCTAGAAGGCTGTGTCCCCAAACTCAGGTCCAACAAGTGAGGTATTTGGACAAAGCCTCCTCCCACCCACCTTTCTCTCTTCCTTCTGTTCTGGGGTTCCTGGAGTCCCCTCTCCTGATGCTCAGGGCTCTCATGTACCCCTCTGTCACCCAGGCAGGACCCGAAGAGTTGTGCCTTCCCAAGTGTTCTGGGTCCAGTTAGGGGCTGTGACTGGTCCCGTGTGTACTAACCAATGACCAAGAAGGCCTGGCAGGGCAGCTAGATACCAGTGAATTTCACAGCATTCACAAGAGGAAGGGAGTAGGCAGGAAAGGCCTCTAGAGGAGGTATGACCAGTCTGGGCCCATAGAGAGATCCAAGGCAGATGGGTGAGAGTTAGTAGAAGCCCATGGGGAAAGAGAGGCCAAAGAATAAATTCAGAACAGGAGCAGCAAGACTGTCTTTTACCCCTCATGCCATCTCTGTCTTCTTCCCCAGGGAGAAACAGGTGTGGATGGCCAGGCCGGCCCCCCAGGACAGCAAGGAGACAAGGTACAGGGGCCCCCACATCCACGAGCTGTGGGATGAGGGTCTGCTGAAAGAAACGGGCTGTCCCTAGACTGGACCCCAGGGCTGGACTCCAGGGCACAAAGCTGATGGGCCATGACCCTGACTTCCATCTCCTGGTTGGCTTGAGGCCCAGCACCATCCCCAGGGACAGCAGTTGTACAAAAGCCAGCCCAGGGTTGGGACACTCAGGTTGGCGAGTGACACCAGGCCCCAGCTCCTGGCAGTTCCCCAAGCCACGGGTCTCATCAGGGCCCTCCCCACTCTCCAGCTACTCCCTTTGAAGGGCTTGTGTCCCTCAGGGGTAGGTGGGATGCGTAGGGGACAGCTCTCCTGGAGGTGGCAATGACTCGATACTCCCTCCACCAACTGGCTGCCTGTAGAGTGAGTCATCAGACTTGAGGAATACCAAAGGTTCCTTTTCCTGTATCTTCACTTTCTATCTTAATATTTTTCCCTTAATACTAACATTATCTCCAGAAAATTAGACCTATGGCTTGTTTTTCACAGTTGGCATCAACTCGCCATCACTCTGCCCTGCCCCTGCCAACACAAACAACCCTCCAGCCACTGTGGGAAGTCGGAGTCCCTACGCCTATATCCTCCTGACTTACTTGACTCCCACCATTCATCCTGCAGTTTGGCTCTTTCACAAGGAACACGGCCCCTAAAAGACCAGATGGGCTTTCAGGGCCAGCATTTTGCACCCAGGCAATGGGCAAAACAGTGGCTGAGCCTTTGCCACCTGTGCAGAATGGAAATCAAGAGAAACAAAGGGCAGGGCTCCTGCTCCCAAAGGAATAGCTGACTGAGGGGACTTGGGAGAGGTGGCCGGAGAGACAAAGGGGAGTTACTAACAACTAGTATGGACAGGAAGAATACCATCAAGTGCCGAGCAGGAGGATCTCAGAGGAAGAGAAGGGTGGGATCAGGGGTTCAGGAACAGTTCCTGAAGGGGCAGAACTTGCACTTTAATGCCCAGGGGTGTCTGTGTCCTGCTGCCCTGTGCTAAAATGAGCCTCCCAGCCCCTCCATGGCCCCTCACACATGGCCCCCCTGGGTGATCAGAGTCCCCGGCACCCAGATTTATCAATGCTTTCCTCTCATTTTGTCATGCAACAGGGGCAGCCAGGAGCAGCTGGAGAACAGGGACCAGCTGGGCCCAAGGTAAACACATCTCTCGTGCATCTGGAGTCACGGTGCAAAGCAGGTGGACCCTGAGGTCTTGAGGGCAGGGAGGGGAAGAGTGAGCGTGCTGGCCCCAGGTGGGAGGTCTGCATGGCCACTAGGATTGGACTTGGGCTTCTCTAAGCCTGTCTGTCCTGACTGTTGAAACAGGGCTGCTCATCTGTTCTGCAGTCCCTGAGCATCCTCTGAGAGTGTCTAGATGCCCTGATAGGCCCACTGAGGCTGCTCCAAATTGCCTTGGCTGCAGGCAGATACAGCCCATGTGGGCTGCAGACTCTCGGCTTCCTCCTGGTCAGGCCCTGGCTGAGACCTCATCTGCCTTCTAGGGCTCCAAGGGAGAACCCGGGAAAGGAGAAATGGTGGATTACAATGGAAACATCAATGAGGCTCTCCAGGTGAGTGGGCTGTATCCCAGAGGCTGGAGACCTGAAGGTCCTAGAGCACCCAGCCCTGACCTTCAACAGGCCATTGAGCAGAACTTCCAGGAAGAGCTGTGCCGCCCCTTTGGCCTCCTGTTGTGCAGAATCCAGGCAAATGCTCCCCATTATTTGGCATCAAGTGGCCTGGATGTGTGGGCTCAGCTGGCTCTGAGTAATTCAGGCCTCTAATGGAAGCATCCTGGCACCCCTGAGGAGCTGCCCATCCAGAGCTCTGTGTTCCAACTCTCCAGGACATGTGACTCCTTTCACATGTTAGAATCTGTCTTCCTGGAGCCCATCTCTCTTTACTGTCAATTTTACCCTATTTCAAGTTCACGTGCGCCATGCTTTTTAAAGCAAAGTGTCCTGACCTTAGCTCTGTTGACACTCAGGGTTGATGATCACAGTGGTGGGGTGGAGAGACAGCATCTCCCCTGACTAGCTATCAGAAACATTTCAGCTGCAGTTGTGACCACCAAAGCTTCTCTAGGAGGCAGAGTCACCCCAGATTGAGAATTCTTCCTCCAAGGGAATCCATGTGGGTATGTGGGTTCATTTACAAGATACCAACAATCATCCTGCTAACCTACTTTGTGAGTGGTTCTGTACTTCGCTATACTGTGTCTATTTAAGGAGAGCTATGGGAATCTTGGGTTCTGGCAGAAGAGGAAAGAGCATGAGAGGCCCCAGCAGGGGATTTATGGAAGAAGAACTTGCCTCCTTCCCTCCTTTGCTAAGGGGGAAGAGAGTTTGCTATCCATTTTAGAACTTGCCTACATCTGTCGCAGAATAACCAGGAGCAGCACTGGGCTTATAAGATGCTGGGAGTTCTCTGCCCAGTGGTTACAAACCTCTGGGAGAGGTGTGGGTAGCATAAGGCTGGAGCCATGGAGCCCACCTGAGGCTTTACCTCCACCTGTGCTCTTCATGGGACTGTGATTTGTCAGAAGGGACCCTTCAGTTGGCTCTGGATCTGCTCTTCAGCTAATTGCATGGTGTTGTTTTTAGGAGATCCGGACACTGGCCTTGATGGTAAGTTCCCCTCCTCCCTGGCTTTCCTTGGGCACTGGGTTGGGCACAGGGAGGGCAGCATGGAAGTGAGGACAAGAGTTCTCATCTCCAGAAAGCACAAGCCAGACTTCTGGCCAGAGCTGGGTTGAGACTGAGGTGGCCTGGGATAAGGACAGGAAGGAAGTGGGCCTCTGGAGCACCTGGGGCATAGCTGTTCACCAACACAGCTGTGCCTCCATGACAGTGTAACTGTGTCACTAAAGCTCTGCTCACAGCTGTGTGAAGGAAATAGCAGCATCCAAGAGGGTGTTCTGATGCTCTTTTCCATAAAACCAATAAAAACCCTCCACACATCCCCCTTTTCTAGAAATCAGCCCCATTATCTGCACTTAGAAAACCAGTGAATTCCATGTTGGGATTTGCACACCTGCCTATCAATGACTGGCTCTCAGAAAATATTCACAGTTGAAGTAACCACTCCTAGTCTAACTTCCAAGGTGGGGAGGGGATGTAAGACAATAAAGCTCTCGGACTGCAGGAATTTCAAGTCACCTGTATTTATTTTGTGGCTAGGTCCACAGACACAACTCAGAATCCAATGCCACTTATTCCACCCCATCAAGTCTTGATTGGTATTAACTAGATGATTCTGAAATCAATGAGTTGGGAACATTAAAACGTATCATTTGAAGTAACTACAGTGGACCCTTGACTTACGAACTAAATTCATTCATGAGGGCTGGTTGTAACTCAAGTAGGTTGTAAGTCAAGACTGTTTTCCCATAAGAAATAATAGAAATACCCATAATGCATTTCCAACCAAAAACGCTCCTTAACTGACCTTTTCATAATAAAAAAAAGGGTCGTATAATGTGCATAATTCACCAGAAACACCAATAATTTTCCTAGTGTATTCACCAAAAAGTTATAAAATGTGCCTAGCTAACCAGACACAACAATTTCATACTGTACTCACCATTCAAGTTGACATCTTTGGCTTGCAGGAAGGGAGGATGAAATGGAAGGTGGTTACTGTTTGGAAGGAGAGTGCCCTTCCATAAGAACATCAGCAATCTGGCTTTCTGGTGTCCGTTCTCTCCTGGGAAAAGTCTGTAGCCCAGTAGGACCTGCTTCTGGCTCACTAGGTCTCAACCTAGTGGTGTTTCTGTATTTTTTTTAACATTGTTCTGTAGTATGACATAACATCATCATTAAGAAAGTGATTGGCATTTTCTCTGGCTGGGTGGGTCTTCTCTACAAATGTTTGTAGCTCTGTCTATTTTTTCAGGATTTCCTTTATTTCCGAAGAAGAACTTTGACAGACTGATTGTTGATACTCCCCCACCTCTTCAGAAAGCCCTTCAGCTGCCATTCTCTGTTGCTCAGCCAGAAGTTGCTGAAGTTCCTCTGTAGACAATTCCTCTGAGTGTTCCTCCACCGGTTCCTCTACATCACCACTGTCTACCTGCAAGCCTGTGGACTCTGCTATAGTGACAGTGTATCAACCACAAGCTCACTTGAAGGCTCGGCTCCTCAGCCTTCAAAGTCTCTGTATAATTTTAGGCCACATTTTCTTCCAGGCAGATCTCTGTATCCTTAGAGAGACAATGGCCCAGGATTTCCCAATTAACCCCACACAGGAAAGGATGTTATAATGTCCCTTCCTTTAAGGATTAAATCTGTATCTGAGAACATCTGGGAGCACTTCAGAAACAGTTCCTTGGTATATAGCTTCTTAAAGTTAGCTATAACCTGCTAGTCCATAGGCTGCAGTAGAGGAGTTGTATTAGGTGGGAGGAACTCAACTGAGAACCACGGTAATTCTTTGGCCAGTTCTTCTTCCAAATCTCATGGGTGAGCCTGAGCATTGTCCATTATGAGGAGATCCTTGAGTAGTAAAACTTTGTACTCTAGATATTTCTTAACAGTAGGACAGAAAGCCTCCCTGATCCATTCAAGAAAAAGTACTCTTGTTACCCAGGCTTTTGCGTTCGATCTCCACATGACCCCTAGCTTATTCTTCATGACTTTATGTTTTCTGAACACTCTAGGGCTTTCTGTGATAAATGAAGAGAGGCTTTGTCTTGAAGTCACCACTCACATTGGCATATAGCAGTAAGGTTAGCTTATCCTTCATAGGCTTGTGGCCTTGTATTTTCTTCTCTTCCTAGGCAATGTTTGCTCTCCTGGGCATTTTCTTCAGAAAAGGTCAGTTTCATCATAGTTGAAAACTCAATGAGAGCAAAAGCCATTTCTCAGAGTCATCCTTTAGAAGTGGTGGATGTAATTTTCAGCAGCCCTTTTATCAGCACTGGCTGCTTCACCATGCCTAGTTATGCTATGAACACCAGTTTTCAATTTAAAATTGTGAAATCACCCTTCACTGGCATGAATTATTTTATCATTATCCCTTGTTGATGGGTTATCCTTTATGAGATCTGCATTTATAGCCCTAGATTTTTCATAAATATATAGACTCAGATAGGCTATAACCTGCCATCTGCCTTTTGTTTATCCACACTAGTAATAGCCTTTCTACCTCATCTAACACTGTTGAGCGTAACTTACTAATTTGAGTAACACCTTTAGAAACACTAGCTTCCTTACACAAATCTTTTCTCTGTAAGATTGTGGAGATAGTGGATTTTGACATGCTGTACATATTAGCAAGATCAGTCACACAAACACCACTCTCATATTTCTGTACAATTTCCTTCTTTTTTACTGTGATTTCTTTCTTTACTTTCCCTTCCTTCCTTAACTTCTTTTCTAGCTTTTCTGGGGCCATTTTGATTGCAGTAGTCATAGCGATTATATAAAGCACTGACCAAAATCACGTCTACAAACATGTGCATCTGGGCTCAGACTGATGCTTACATACACTTACATATGCTTTTCTGGCATCTCAAGTCTTTGTTTACAACCCCACAAGCCTCTGCATTTGGGTCATAACTCAAGACTTTGGTCATAAGTTAAAACTAAACTTCCAGTTGTAACCCAAGCTGTTCATATGTGAGGCCAGTCATAACTCAAGGGTCCACTATATTGGAAATAAAAATTTCCTGGAAACTTTTTTTCTTTTAAAAACAATCTTAGGGGGCCGGGGATTTAGCTCAGTGGTTTTGCCGCCTACTGTGCAAGAGCAAGGACCCGAGTTCAATCCCCTGTACCAAAAAAAAAAAAAAAAAAAAAATCTTAGACATAGCTCACAGTAAAATGTGCCCATTTTAAGTATAGAATTTGATGAGTTTCACAAATGCAAATGCCATGTATCTGCAGGAAGTTCTTTCATAAACCCCAGGGAGGCAATCCCACACTACCCCGGCTCCAGGCCACCATGTCTCTGTGGACTTCATGTGTCTTTTCTGGGCCTTCATGAAATGGAGTCACATTTTCAGAAGGACGGTGAGGAGAGGCTATTGGTCATGACTCTCAGCCTGCTCTCTTCGACGCAAACACATTCAATGCTTCTTTATTCCTATTCTAGAGTTCCCCTTGTTATTTCCTTTGCAAAAAGTAAAGTGTTTCTACTACTGAAGAAATAATTGTACACAACTGTAAGCCAGCCTCCCTACAAGCCAGCCTCCACACACAGCCCTCCAGCAACAGCCACTCTCCTGGTTGGAAAATTCTTCCATATGTCTCTCCTTTCTTTCCTAGGGGCCTCCTGGTCTTCCTGGGCAAATTGGCCCACCCGGAGCTCCAGGGAGTCCAGGCCAGAAGGTAACACTTGCCTTGACCAGGGGGGTAAAGACCCATCAGGTCACAACATCCCTGGGCACATGACACCAGGGTCACCCCTCGTCTTCCCAGGTACTGCCACACCACACTTTGGCCAGCAATTCCTGCTCCAGAGCATGTGGGCCCTGCTACCCACCATACCCCTCTCACCCCACCCCAACCAGGGCTGCACCTCTCCTCCTTTGTCGTCCAGCTGGGGTCTTGTAATTCACCTTCATGGGTGCTAGAGCCTGGAGAACCTCCAGGCCAGCTGGAATCCCAAGCTGCCCCTGTGCAGGGTAGCATTTGAGTCCCACGCATCCCAACCATAGCTTTCCCTTCATACTTATGCCCACCCATCCTGGTGCTTTTTCAGAAAGACAGACCCTCTGACCTCACATTTGCCCCTCTGCTCAGGAGGCCCCCTGCCCTTAAAGTCCCTTCCCATCTTCCCCACCTTCCAGATTTCTCATCTTTCAAGCCCTACTCAAGGCCGCCCCTGAGCCATCAGGCAGAACTGTCCTTCCTCCCCACTCCCCTGGGAACACCAGCACCATTTTGCCAGCCTCCCACCCCTGCCTCCCTGACCTAAGGAAAAAGCTTGGGCTGGCGGGAAGAGAAACAGAGGGCCCAGTGGGCAGCTGAGACAGGAGGAGCAGGACAGGAGGAGACAGAGCTCCGGGGTGCTCAGGGCTCACAGAGACTGCTTACTCAAGCTGGTGGCTGAAACACAGGCCATGGAGCCAGGATGCCAGACTCAGATCCTGGTTCCTGGTCACAAACTGTGAGCCTGCAGAGCCAGAGCTTTGGGCTGTGGTCTGTAAAGCAGACACAGTGATGGCACCTACCTCTCAGAGCTGAGAGAAGGAATAAAATGCCTGTGGGAAAGTTCAGAGAAGGCTGGTTGGCACCCAGGAAGTGCTGCATAGGTGACCATTACTTTGTCTCTGCTCTGAGAGTCACTGTTAGTTGTTCTGGCTACAGGGGGAGATTGGACTACCAGGCCCTCCAGGACACGATGGGGAAAAGGTAAGAGGAGCCACCTCCAGAAAAGCCTCCCTCTGAGGATTGAAGGGCCCCAAAGGTTCTGAGACAAGCTGGCTGTGAGCCCTGTGGGGACCAGGGAAAGGGGGTGGAGGAGCCGAAGGGCCAGCCTGGAATGGGCTCTCTTTGCCTGCTCCAGTCAAGCACCAGAAAGCCAAGTGCTCTAGGCACTTGTCATTTCCCTGTCATTTCTGGTCTTTCCCCTCTCTTCTCTTTTCTCCATGAATGTGCCTGAGAAATGCTATTGATATTTTCTAAGGGACCTCGTGGCAAACCAGGAGACATGGGACCCCCTGGTCCCCAAGGACCTCCAGGGGAGGATGGGCCTCCAGGAATGAAGGGAGAGACTGGATACCCAGGGAGCCCTGGCGAGAAAGGAGAAACTGGACAAGCAGGCTCACCGGTGAGTGGCAGGGCTGCTGGCCCATATCCATGTGCCATCTTCATGCCTGGTGCTGGCTCTACACGATGCCAGCTGCTGTCTGGGATGGAAACCTAGGGCCAGGACTAAGGGGAATGAAGGATATTCACTCAGTTTCTCCTCAAGCCACTCACTTTATGAAGGACAGTTTCCTGACTCTGGAGAACTGAGTCCTGTTACGTCTTCACTTATTGTACCTTGGAGAAAATCACTAAGTCTCACAGAGCCCCAGTTTCCTCATCTCTGAACTGGGTTTAATAATAATGCCTTCCTTGTATACCTTCCTTGTGTACCTCATAGGCCACTGGGAAAAGAGATAGCCAGGAGCGTGGAAAGCATGCAGAAGCCCTGTCCCTAGGAGTGGTTGCATGTATGTGAAGTGCCTTCAGCTGAGTCCAACCAGGCTGCTCTCTTGACCTGGGAGCCTTCTCATGGTTTCCATCTATGAAATAGCCACCATCTAGATACCAGCCTTGGAGGAGGGTAGCTGCCAATGCATGCAGGGTAGGCCTCTGCCAGGGTCACAGATGCTCGGCATGATGACCTTGAGCTTCTCTAACAGGGGTCTTTGTTGATCTGTAGGGTCTAGACGGCCCAACTGGGGAGAAAGGAGAACCAGGTGACCAAGGGAGGCCCGGAGCAACAGGATCGCCTGGCCCCATCGGGCTCCCAGGATTTACAGTAAGGCGAGAGGGCCGGGCAGCAGGGGTGTTGGCAGGCAGCTGCCGACCAAGGTTGCAGGAGCAAGGGTGCTCCTCACAGGCCACCAGCCTAGAGGAGCCTGGCACTGTGAGGAGGCTGCACTAACCTCCTGCCTGCCACCCAGCCTGGGGGGGCCTCTTGATAAGCAGCTGCTCCATTTGGATTTGAACAGAGTCCAGCTTCCTCAGTGCGTGGCACAGTGTCCTGTTCAGACACCTACCTAGTCCCAGAGTGCTGGGCTTTTGGACTTAGAGTCCCTGCCTTGGAGTAGGAAAAGCCTTAGGGGTCATCCAGTCCCACACCTGACCCAGTGCCAGGACAGGCAGGCGACTCCCATTCCATGGTGGGTGGCTCTGAGACAGAAGGGACACTTACGAGTGTGGTGTGGATGCTGCTCCATCAGCCTCCGCCATGGCTCCTCTGAGGCTCTGGGCTCTGGAGCCCTATTCATTTTCTACTAGTACATAAAAAACCACCACAAACTTAGCAGCTTCAAACATCACATTTATTGGAGGTCTGTAGTCCTGAGGTGTCCTGGTTGGGCCCCCTTCCCCGAGTCTCACCAAGCTGCAGTCAAGGTGCTAGCCAGCTGTGCCTTTATCCAGAGCTGGAAGTTCTCTTACCAACTCTCTGGCTGTGGGCAGAATTCAGTTCCTTGCCATAGTAGGAAAGTCCCTCAGCTCCTAGAGGTCACCTACAGTTCCCAACCTTGTGGCCCTCCTCACGGTAAGCAGTTCAGCTTACTTCTTCAAGGCCAAGGACAGAGAGGCGGTCTATCTACTACCCAGTGCTAGTAAGATGAAGCCATGTGTATGTAACATATTTGCAGCATAATCGTAGCACATGTTAGGTATTTTTGCTTGTGTAACATGGATATGATGATTTGCAACACCTTCACAGGAGTGACAGCCATCAACTTTGTCATGTGCCCTATTCCGTGGTTTAGAAATAAGTCACAGGTCCACCCCAGGCTCGGTCCACCACAGGGACCATCCAGAGCACTAGTCCCTCTTCCCAAAGCTAGAGCCTCAGGCCCTTGGAGTCAGGATCACAGCCCCTGCCTACAACCTCCAAGCCGAGGGTAGGCCAGTCAAGTTTGTCACAGATGTGCAGGGTGGGCCTATGTCAGTCCCCGAGGACTCACATCCTGGTGTTTTGTGCCCATAGGGAGAAAAAGGAGTAGCCGGAGAGAAAGGTGACCCAGGAGTAGAGGTAGGTCACACCTGCTCTTCTTTTGTGTCCTAGATGATCATTTAATGAGGGACTCGTCAGAAATGACAGTCTCTCTGGGATGGCTAGGATCTCTGTGTTCTAGAGTCAAACCCCAGCTCCCTGACCCCAGGAAAGGCAAGAAGCTGAAGGTCTGTGGAGCTTCCTGAGCCCACACTGCTGGCGCTGAGCCTCAAGGTTGCTGCTCCAGGCTTTCCCATTGGTCAAGATCTGCAGGATTACAGAGCATGCACAGTGTTTCTGTCCTGCTGCTAGAACCTAGACAGAAAAATGAATAGAACCATCGCCGGTGGCTCACAGTCCCCAGTGATGAGCACTCGCTGGGACAGGCTTTGCATCCCAGGAGGTGTGCCATTTGTGCAGAGTCTTGATGGCTTTGTAGGAGTTTGCCACTAAGTGTCAAAGGAAGGCTTTCCAGGGAGGAGCACTGATTCTTTGAGAAGTGTGGCAGTGAAGGGAAGAAGAGAGAACAGCAGAGTGAGAGGAGTCGGGGCAGGTTTTCAGAAGACAGAGACATGCAGGTATATTTGTAGGCTCAGAGGAGAAGGTCAAGGAGGCCACAGAATGAGGACAAGTGGGAGGAAGGCTTGACCATCCAGAAGTACCTTAGAGACAAGGGAGAGGCCACCCAGCCTCCTCCATGCCCTGTTCCCTGGCCCCTGTCACCTTTCCATGTCAGCAGCCCCATCTACCCCATCTGATGTAGTGAGACAGATCTGATCCTGTGCCATGTAAGTGACTTGTTAGAAATGGGGACCGCCCCCTAAGAAATGGCCCCAAGTGCAGGAGAAGCATTAGACACAAAAATCTTCCTCCCAGAAGTATTTAATGTGAAAACTGAAAACAATTCATATTCCTACCAAGAAGGAAAATAACTGGCTAATGCTGCAACTAGTAATAACAGTCCCCATGTTTAAGAATCTTCCTCGTGCCAAGCGCTGCTCTACTCCGTGGCAAGGAGGTGACTCAGTGTCAGTTCCCTTGGTGACTGGCGCATCACCATGGAAGGAAGCTTGTGGGGAACATACAAAACTGAGAAAATGCATCTCATGTTAAATGAAGAAGAGCAAAAACCAAATTATATTTCTGGATCATCATATATTCAATATATTTTGTGCATAAAAATGTGGGAGGAAAGAAAGCAAAATATTAGGAGTGCTTCTCAGCTAGGTAAATCAGAAATTTATTCTTTTTATTTTAGTTCTCTTTTTATAAAGCATTTTAATGTGTCTAACTTATTTTTTAAGTTTTAAAACTATTAAACAGGGAAAATTGACTTTTGTGAACTTTAATACATGTATAGTTTCTATAACCACTAACATAATCCATTTATTATTTCTAATAAAGTAAGCTTTTTTTAAGGAAAGTAGAGTTTCCACAGATTATCTTTCCTAGCAGGAGACTTATGGAGCTGAAAAGCCCAGAGGCCCAAGGGACACTAGGGGCCTGACTGCCTGCCACTGCAGGGCCACCTGACAGGTGGTTCCTCAGCCAGGCCACGCTCCAGGAAATTCTATCCTGGGGAAGCCAAGACACCTGAGAACCCTGAAGCTGATTCGTCAGCAACAGACCCTGTAGAGAAGTGGCTCCTCCCGCTGCGGTCCAGTCTGAATCTCCTCTGTTTGAAGTGCCTCTCAAGAAAAATGGTCCCCACACTGTTACAGACCTGGAGGGACTTGAATACTCTTTAGAAACACTTCGGCCTCCCCTCATTCCAGATAACCAGTCTCTAAGCCAAGGATCTCAAACTCAAATCCCTACAAGCTCCAGGCATGGGGCACATGAAGACCAGAAGTCTGAGTGACAGATGGCAGGGAGTGGTGGAGACTGGAGAGGACCAAGAACCTCAGGCCCCAGGGAAAAGCTCTTATTCCTCTCTAGGCAATTGTTGCCATGCACAGACATGGCCTGAATCTAGTGCTATTAGACTTTCTGGCTTTTTAAGAAATCTGGAAGAACAGATGTTCTGGGGACATTCCTAGGCAATATTTTTTTTCAGTGTTGTGCAGGCCAGTGGTTTGCTATGAGTTTCTAACCTGGCCTGAGCCTTCTTATGGGAGATTGTGTATGGGGCTGGCCTCCAGAGGGAGTCCTGCCCTGCTGTGGCCTTAGGAGGACCCTGGACCATGTCAGGAGGGAGGACCACATGGAGTGTAACAGGGCTCCCTTTTGGCTTCTAGGTTCCTGGGCCACCAGGGCCAGAGGGGCCTCCTGGACCTCCGGTGAGTTTGGAGGCCTTGTCAGCAGCAGTTCAGCCCACTATGGGCAGGACCCTAATGTCCCTCTCATGTTAAACATCCCAGGGTCACTGAGGAGCTGCAGCGATGCCTCATTCTCTGGAAACAGCTGACCTGCATGGCAGTCCTTGCTTTCTCTCCAAGCTCTGCTTAATCCTTTGCTGTCAGACACCTGCTCCTCCCCTTCCTCCTTCCAGCTACCCAGCTGGCATGAAAACAGGATTAAAATAGAAAGTGACCCATTAACACCAGTCCGTGGGGTTGGCCTTCCTGTGATTACAGAAATGTAACCTGGGACTCCTTCGCACTGTACCTAGAGGGGCCCCATGCACCCCAATCCAACAAATGCTCATCTGTACCTGTGCATGGCTCACAGTCCCCATGGCACCCTATGTCACCTTTCATCACAGGTCGAAGTGGTAGAGGCAACAGTAATAGTAGCCAACATTCATTGCAATGCACCATGTGCCAAACACTATTCTAAACACTTTGTATACATTAATTTATTTCATTTTTGTTATGTTTTCTCAATCTCCACTTCATGATATTTTGGGGTCAGCCATGGGAGTCACAGAAAATTTTCCTTTAGCTCCTGGCTAAAGAACACTGGCTTCAACTGTACCCCAAGAAGCCCTAAGCAGTACCCCTCTTTGCATTCCTTCTATCTGTCATGGGCAGGGACCCCAGAACACAATCTGCTCTCAAACCCCTGCTTTTCTGGGGCCATCCCATGGGCAGGGAAGTGAACTAGAAACATGGTTCTAATGCAACTTGTTTCCATTCCAAATGCAGGGGCTCCAAGGTCTACCTGGACCAAAGGTAAGAGAGGTCACGTGACAGGAGCTGGAAGAAGGGTGGGGAAGGGGCTGAACTAGGGATCCCAGAAAAGAGGGGAAGGGCTTCAGAAGCCCAGCTGACCCATCTCCCTAAATGCCCCTTTGTGATGCTCCAACCATAGGGTGCCACTGGGGCAGAACAAGATCCCACACTCCCTTTAACACCCAGCATTGACACCTGGCATTCTTGGAACACAGAATTTTCCCATCCATCCGTTGACTCTGCAAGGTGACAGGCTAGATTCTTAGAAAACACTGAAACCCTTTTCCCATCTCACTTGCCCCAGACCCTTCACTCACCCTGAAGTACAGGAGGGAAACAGACAGCAGTGTAGCACAGGACCCCTCCCAGGGCCAATCCCACTGGCCTCTGGTTTGGAGCTCTTCTGACCTCGCCCAAAGCATTGCAAAAGAATAAAAGGGGCTGACAGTTGGTGGCATAACAGTGGCCCTTACCCTCTGCCCTGACACTGTTCAGGAACCTCGGGGGAGCTTCTTCTCCCTGTTCTCTGTAGATGGTGTTTCAGGCATCTGCCAACAAATCCTGCAGGGACCTAGTGTTCCTAGCCTGCCTGACCCAGAACTGCCCGGTGTGTTGTCTCCACTCTGTTCATCCCTTCTACTATGGGGGATGCTAACTGTGACAAACTGGCTAGTGACTCAGGGATTCTCGGAGTCCTCAGACTGCCACTGCTGGCCTGACCATCTTCACCTCCCGCCTCCTCTACAAACCAGAATGGGATGGGAATGAGTTGTCTGGGACATGCCCTTCTGTGATCTCCTCCATCTCCGTCTCCTTCAGGGGGAAGCAGGACTAGATGGAGCCAAAGGAGAGAAAGGTGTCCAGGGAGAAAAAGGAGACCGAGGGCCTCTGGGATTACCCGTAAGTATCTGGGCCCCAGCAAGACCACTGTGAGGAGCCCATTGGGGTGGCCCTAACCAGGGACTGGGAGGAAAGCTGCTTGACATGTCCAGGTTCTAAAGTTCTGAGTGTTCTAGGGCTCCGTGTAGCTCTCCTTCCCACATGGGCAAGACTGTAGATTTTAATTTCTGAGTGCCTTCCCCAGAACAGGCCTTGGGAGAATGTGAAGTTGTTGAACAGGAAAGGTTCCCACCCTGAGGAGGACAGATGGAAAGGCAGAGGGAACCAAGAACAGCCTTGGGGCCTGAGTGTTCCTGATTCAGGGTAATCAAGTCTGCCCCATGCAGGCCCAGTGTGGAAGGCTTGGGAACAGTGGGGCAATGAGGTATCCTCCATCTCATCCCTATTTCCCAAGAAACCCCCAAGAGAACCTTGCTCTGTCCTCTTAAGCACTAGCCTCAGCATGAAGTATGTAAAAGTCAGACTCTGTGGTCCTGGCAGACTAAGCCCACTCTTACCCGGGATCCCAGAGAGCTCTGCCTGCTCAGAGCTGAAGGCCCCTGGTCAGTGGCTCACCATGCCTCTGTGGCCCGATGGTCTTGTCACCCCTCACCTGTGTCCAGGTGAGCATACCACAACTTACTGAGGTTGGCATCCTTTGCGGTGGGTTTTTAAGAGCTGGAAGGGACATTAGCAACCTGTCTCATCATTTCATCAATGCTCACCTGAGGTCGCATAGGAAGGTGGTGGACAGACTGAGCCAGACATTCCTCTCCCACTGAGTCCACGTCCTTGCAAAGGGGCTCCTTTCAGCTATTCTGTCTGCCTCTGTCCCCCACTCAAGGCCTGTCCCCACCCCAGGTAGCCATAAAGAACAGGACAAGAATGGAAAACCAATTACCCCAGCTCTGCAGATCTGGTTAATATAATCACAGCCAACACAAGATATAATTACACCCTCATTAATGCACAAATGTGGGAATATTTTGCTGACAGGCTACAAAAAAAACTGATGACTTGAGCAGATATTTTCCTTATTGTAAGCTGTGTTTGCAATGATGAAGTCCTCCTTCCTAAGAAAACTCCTTCCTGTCTCCCCCAAGCACAAATCTGGCTTCGTCCAAAGAACCCCAGTGAATGTCAAAGAATGTAGTCAGGGGCTGACATGCAAATGACACAGTGACAAGACAGGTAATATAAACAAAAAGTGCCACGTGAAAGACAAAGTGCCTGGTCTCTGTTGAGTTCTCCGACTTTTGGATAGAGGCATGCCCCACTCTTGAAGACTATGACAGAATTGGACTGTGGCAGGGCCTGGGCATCTGGACTGTGTGACACCACCTGGAAGATGTCAGTGTGCACTGGAGCTGAGAATCTCAGCTGTAGCCTGAAGGATCAAGGACAGTCCCAGAGCCATACGGGCCTAACACTGAGAACCAAGGCCTTGGTGAATCTCCTACCCGATGCTCTTTCTTTGGGAGGAATCAGCTCCCTGGCCTCCTTTCCCAGGGACTCGCTCCACCTTAAAAATCCTAAGGCTGAGGCTCACCTCTGAGCTCAGTTGAAAGTAGTTTCCAGGAACTCAGTCCTTACTAGCTAGGGAACTCCTGCTGCCTTCTCCTTGGCTAGTCACACTACCATCTTTAGAAAATGTGCCCTAGTTTTCTTAGGTGGGCCACAGGGACAGCTTCTTAGCCTGGCACTGGAGTAAGAGGTCCATTCCCAGAATCTGTCACTGGTGGGCGTGGATCTGAACAGCGTCCCACCTACCCGTTTGCAATGGGGGATATGTGGCCTTAGACCTATGATCCAGTCAGCTGCTTCCAAGGCCTCTTCTATAAAAGGGCCCCTGTTTGCAGCATATGAACAGACTGAGTTTGTGTTGGATTCTGCAAATGATAAAATGCCAGAGAAACATCAAACACAGTCAGTATTCTCACTCAGGGGCCGACCTCTTCCAGCCAGCTTCTGCCCAGGTTTCCAAACCAGATGCTGGACCTCAGGGCTGACTGGGTTAAGGGAGGGAGGGGGCCAGTCTGGCCTGGTCTCAACCAGCGTGCAAGAGGCTGAAAAATGTCCCCTTGCCTGGGTCCTCAAAGAGGCGAAAATGCACAGCCCTGGGTCCAGATGTCTTCCAGGGTTCCTTTCTCTATCCCTTTCCCTGGATCTCTGCAGCCCCCTGGGTGAGGGTTCCTGAGATGCAGCACAAGGGGAGCAGGGTGTGCAGAGGACCAGAGCAGCCTCTACGTGGTCTCTGCCCAGCCTGCTCAGCAGAGGCCGCAGCGTTTGGTGTCTCCGTGTCGTCCTGGTCTCCATGTAAACACACTCCCTGCCCTCCAGGCTCATCCTCCCACCGTGTTTGATGCCAGCACTTGTGTCTGTCCAGGGTCATGCTTACTCACCTCTTCCCTTCCCGTTGTCCCTTTCTCTCCCTCCCACTCCTCCCTTCTCCTTCTTTTGGTCAAACTGTGCCCTTCGTCCAGGGAGCTTCAGGTTTGGACGGCAGGCCGGGGCCACCGGTGAGTGTCACTTCTCCCCACTCCTCCCCACCCCGCCCCGCGCCCAGCCTGTGATCCCTCTTGTCTGTCCCACTGTGGCCTCATTTCCTCAGTGAGTCATGCCTTAGCCCCACCACAGACACCAGAAAGGTCCTGTCCACACTTGGGTCAGAGTGCTTTGGCAGGCCTCCCGGCCAAAGAGGGCTGGCTTGCATCTGAGTGCCCCATCCTCCCTGTGCACCCAGAGACCTTAGGCCTGCAGGCACTGTCCCAGACCCTGAAGCTGAGTCCCCACCAAACACACCAGTGTCTGTGTGCCCGTTCCGCTGTGTTGTCTTCATGCTGTGAGCTCTGTCCATCTCCTGTCTGCCCGTGGGGGCTTCCCAGTCCTGCACAGCCAGCTGGTGGGTATGGGTGGGGCGGAAGGCCAGTTCCAGCTCGGTGGCCCATACACGTTTTACCCATAGACCTTTCCCAGCCAAGGCCCACCGCCACCCTGCAGCCCAGCAAGGGGGTGTGTTACAGAGCAGGGACGGGGCTCTTGCATCACTTCTCTCCATTCCTTATGGAAGTGCCAGCCCTTCTGTGTGACAGACAGCTGAGGCACCTGAGACAGTGGCCTTCTCTCCACCTTCAGTCCCCTTCCTGAGCATTCATGTGGACATCCGACTGTCACTTCTCATGGTGTGGGGACCACTCCCTCTCCAGGGCCAGGAGGCCAGACTTCCCTCCTCAGGGGCCACACAAGCTGTGGGTCTGCCCAGCCCCTCCCAGCCAGCGGATCTCCCATCTGCCTGGTGGCTGCTTTGGAGGCCAGGCTGGCCCATGGTCCGCCTAGCAATGAAGCTCTGATAAGCAGATGAAGGGAGAGGGACGGGGGCTGAGACACCTGGGGCTGATGTGGTGACCTGCAGTAACAATGTAAACATCCACACCTTGAGACCTGGCCGCGGCCTGGGAGCAGACACTCACCTTTCCCCTCATTTTATAGCGGGAGGACCTGGCACTCAGACAGCTAGGGGACTCTGCCAGGAGTCTGAGGCCTCTGAGCTGCCTGGATTCCAGCCCAGGGACTCTAGAGCCCTGTTCTGAGCCTGACCTGGCTCTGGCTTTTAGCTGTGTGGTTGTCATGGATACCCATGCCCTTCCTTCTTCCTCATGGCTGCAAATGAGGCACAGAGAATGGCTCATGGCTCCTTTTCCTCATGTGGAGGAAATCAGCTTTTTCCCACTTGCTTGTGCCCTGCTTTCACAGCTGCTCTCAGAACCCCCTGCACCCTGTATCCTCATCTGAGTCAGGTAAAGAGACACTGAGGCAGAGAAATAGGAGCTGTGAAATACAGACCTGGTCCAGTCCAGCTGCACATGGGCACCTGGGGAAGACCTCTGATGATGCCACAGCATCTGCTTGATCTCTAAGCAACACTGCTCCAGTGGCTTCCTCCCCCAGCTCTCTGCTGCCCGGGCTTCAAGAGCTCCTGCCCCACCTCCCTGCAGGCCAGTGCAGTGCAGCCACCAGGATGCCATCCACTCCCTTCCAGCCTGTTCTCCAGGCCTGGGATGGGGACAAAAGGCCAGGCCAGAGGCTGAAGCCAAGGACAGGTCCACAGGGGGGTGGCAGGGTGAGTGCTGCTGAATGACCCTCTCTCGCCTGCCTCTGTGTGCATTGGTCTCTGTGGCATGAAGACCCTCCTGCTGCATGTGGAGCTGTGACAGAAAAGGGGTGCCCCTGTCCTGGAGTGGGGTCACCTCCCTCCCAAGTGCTTCTGGGAGCAAACTAAGCAGTCGTACTCCTAATGTTTTCAGCCTTGGTGAGCTTGGCTATGACGTGAAAGGGTTTCATTCCATGAATCTGGCCCTGGGCAAGGGGGGGGGTGCTTTCTCCTCTGAGACCCTCAAACCCCAAAAAGATCACAACGCAGTCGCATGATTGCCCTGAACACGCCTGGCCTCGCCAACCCTGAAAATTGGGCCTTGGACCTCACTCGTCTCCAGGTGTCGGGCAGGACTCCCAGGGCTCCCCAGCACCCGGCCTCTCACCTCTGCTCTCTTTCCCTCCAAGGGTACCCCAGGACCAATTGGCATTCCAGGCCCCGCAGGACCAAAGGGAGAGAGGGTGAGCGCTCCGGGAGCCTGGGTGGCCAGGTGGGGGGGTCAGGCCATCCTTCCTCGGCCCCAGCCTGGGACCTGGAGCCCACTGGTCACCACGTCAGCCCCAGGAGTCTCAGCCCTCATCCCTCCCTTCATCTGTCACTGCCACGGAAGCCCATGGGAGCAGGCAAGCCTGTGGCCAAGAGTGGGCCGTGACTTGAGAAGATGAGACTCAGCCTCTGCCTCAGCCTCTGCTCACCTAGCATCCGTCATGAAGCAGCCTGACAAGGCCCCAGTGCTGCTGTCACTGCCAGGATTACACTTGTGATGATTTAGAGACCAGCACAGAACAGAGTGCCCTGTGGTGATTAGAAGGTTCCCAGAAGACATCAAGAAGCTATCAAGAAGGCCAGAGCCTTAGGCTTGGTCCCCGTAGTCCCTGTTGAGTGGCCCTGGCCATGTCACTAGACACCCTGAGGTCCAGCCCAGCCTGGGTAGAGCAGCTATACATGAGGTTGAGAGTAGCAGGAGGCACCTTAGTGGGGCAAGAGAGTGTGACTCTTTCTCATCCCCTCCTCCCAGCTGGACCCCAGGGCATCCATTGGACTGTCTGCCTGCCATAAGCCCCCCTCTCTGTCCACCTACCTTGCTGGCTGCATCCAGGGCTCATGGGGTGGGGAGTGTGGGCAGCATCTGCAGAGGGCAAATGGTTGCTCTGAGGGCTGGCCCTGAGGCATCAGAGAAGACATCAAAGCCATCTTGTCTTTCCCTTTCTTCTTCCACCCCAGCCCCTATACCCAGTCCTTCAGGAGAGTCTTGGGGGACAGGCTGTATTGGAGAAAGAGAGTGATGGGCCTCTCAGCCCCTCTGGGGCAGCCCCCAGCCTTCCACAAGCCCTTGTTTCCTGAGGGTTTTGAGGAGGCTGGAGAGGTTGGCTGGGCTTTGTGTCAGAATAGGAAATGGTGACTGAAGGTTGTTGTCACATCAGGAAGGATTCATGGGCTTCTGTCTCTCATTTCAGGGCAGCAAAGGAGATCCAGGGATGATAGGACCAACGGGAGCAGCTGGGCTTCCTGTGAGTTCCATGGGACCAGAGGTCCCCCCCCCCTCCCTCCCCACCCCTATACCCACTAGAAACAAGGGCAAAACAGAATGCCCAGAGCCTGGAGCTCACCAAAAGCACTCTCAGCACTCTCAGGGAGCCAGGTTCTAAGCCTAGAGGACCAAGTCACAGGATACAACAGCATATCGGGAGCCCCTGTGTCCGGTGCATGGTGCCACTGCCTCTGCCCTCAAACAAGAGCAGCATCAAATCCAGATCTCCATGACACAGAAAGGAGACACTCCAAAACCCAAGCAGCTTTCTCAAGGGAGCTAGACCCTGGGGAGCAGACTGAGCTCTGCCTGCAGTGTGTTTGTCTGGTGCTTCATTGTAAAAGCCAAGTGTCCACCTGAAAGAGCCTGGACAGCTCATGGAACTTGAAGGTTGAGCAACATGTTGCCCAAGGAGGCCAGTTCTCTGCTCATACTTATTCCCCAAGGCCATTGGTCAGCTCGCAAGAGGGTCTGCGAAGCTGTGGAGTCATTTTGCCTGCAAGAGTCCAGCAGGAGAGCCATAGGAGCACCCCTCTGCCAGGGACATCCTGTGCCTGCCCGCCACGTCCTCAGAACCCACCCTTCATCCGCATTAGTGACCTTGGAGGAACATGACCAAGATGCAGACTTGAGAGCCAGAAAACCACAAGCATGTTCTTGGCTTTGCTTGAAGCTCATCATTTGCCTCTAGGTCAAGTTCCTTGGGGGATTTGCTTATCAGTCCTTCTATACAATGGGGATGGTTAAGCTTGTTTCCACCGAGTTAGGCATCAGCAAAGAGCTCTCTGAGCCCAGAAGGAGGACTGTGCGGCTGGCTGTTCTGCATTTGCTCATTAACATGTCTTTGTTTCTCTGACTTATTGCAGGGTTTGCACGGACCACCTGGGGACAAAGGAAACCGGGTAAGTCAGAGCCCTCACACTTTGGCCCTGCTTACTAATGTTTTCCTGATGGGGTGGAATGATCAATTGGGACATCCTGACCCAACGTGGAAAGACAGTGTTTCCTGATAAATCATCCTAAATTGAAAGGATTTATACTGAGGGTCTTAATCTATGGCATGCAGGGAGCCTGGGCTAATCCTGAAATTGAAGCTTGTATTGTTTCACATTTCGAGGGAGGCTAAATCCCACAGTGGCTGTTAGATTCATTGCCATCCAGTAACAGGAGCTACGTGTCCAGCCCTCTCCATGTTGCCCTGATAATAGGCCCCTAAATGATATTTTCAGATCTATCATTACCTTGTCCTCACCTTCTGAAAGTTAGTTTTGCCAGGAATTCCAGGCCACTGGTGAGCAAGAAAATAAATTCCAGTTCCTAGAACAAGTAGAAAGCTGTTGTAAGCAGCCAAGCCTTTAAAAAAAAAGTACTATGGCTGCTATTTCCCTGGAAAAGAGTCTGCAGGACTTTGAAACAAACGGTGCCTTCCAGGCCCCTCCATCTCCCTCTGGTTTCTACCGTCTTCACCAGGATGCACTGAATAGCCAAGGCACCCACAGCCACATGATGGCATGTGACACAGGCCGTGGCCCTGGGCATGTGGGCACAGCAAGCACAACTTAACTACATCTGACCAAGAAATGACTTGGGTCCTTTCCCCTCTGGGGCTTCCTCACACTGGTTCTCCGTGCAGAGCACACGCCCCCTAGAGGCCCAGGGCCATCTTCTGGTGGGTCAGAAAATCTCAGGATTTTAAAAGAGGAAGAATGGGAGGAGCAGATGGAGAAACATGCCCAGAATGAGGATAAAATATACTGAGTTCTCCCAGAGAGCCAGAGGCAGAACACAGTGATTCCAGAACCCAGTTCTCATGACTGATATTTTAATGTTGATACCATGTTCATGGATAGAAAGTGCCCGAATCTGTATGTTTATATGTTTCATTCCATTCTCTTCAATTTAAGAAGTATTTACTGAGTCCTTCTATATCTCTAAGTACTTCTCACTGGAAGCTTGTCTAAAGCAACTCAGTTTGTCCCACAAATTATGTAAACCAGTGGGAACAGACAGAACCACCCCTACCAGATTGCCCATGGCAAAAGCCAGTCTAGAAGCCACTAGAACAAACAGATCTACTTCCGCATCCTCAGCCAGCTTTTCAAGGCAGACTAAGAAGCCACTTTCCTTGGGGCAGCATCAAGGAATTTAGGCCTGGACAAATGTGATCATTCCATCCCTTCAGTGACATGCTAACCTCCTTTCTGACTTATTTCTAAAGTGTTCTGGTTTTATTATATTTGATTTACATTTTCAAAACCTATTTCTTGAGACATTTTCAGTTGGCTTAAGGCATTGAGCTATTTGAAGACTGCAAAATCAGTCCTTCTAGTCACAGTGATGACTTTGCTCTAGAAGTGGAGGAAGGCAGACAAGGTGCCCTTGTCACAGATGCAGGGAGGAGAAAGAGATCGATCGGCTGGTGACTCTGGAACCAATGGAATCGAGGTTGTTGAATAATCCACTTCTCCTTGCTGGTGTTGACACACTTTTCCCTACCCCTGCGTAAGTTAGAATAAGTCACTTAGTCAAAGTTAAGTTCAGAAAACAGTAAAGTTGCATAAAGTACGCCACCATAAAGAGCCATTTGGCTTATGCCAAAGAGAAGTTTTCAGAATCAAGGAATAGCTATTCTCTTCATCCAAGAGATTTGTCTCTCCTCCTAATTCACACCTTTGTTTGCCACAAACCCTGTCAGGATTTGGGGAGGAATTGAGGACTTGTTAACAGGGCTTCAGAAGGCCCAAGCATGAGGCTGGGGATTTAGCTCGGTGGTTCTGCTGCCTGCCTCACAAGTACAAGGTCCCAAGTTTGATCCCCGGTACCAAAAAAAAAAAAAAAGCACAAGCAGACTCAGGGAAAGATGTTGGGTATTGTTTTGTTTTTCTGCTGAAAGCTCAGGATTTTGATGCTTTAGTCAAGGTAAAATGCCACCAGGGCTAAGCAGGAGCTCTGGTTAAAAGTCCCATTGTTCTCCTAGAAGATGAAGCCAGGCATGTTGAAGCCCCTACCCCACCTGAGTTTTGGAGGGTGACTCCTTGTAGGCAGCCCCCTAAATTTTCCCTCATGATGCCTGAGGGACCCCGTCAGAGATCTGCTCTACCTTCCAGTGAACCACAACACAACTTTAAAATTATGCTGCTTTGCATCCCACCTGAGGATGGTCTGGAAGGCCCTTTCTTGTTCAGAGAAGGAGGAAGCTCCTCATGGTAGGCCCCAAAGGCCCAGGGCCCTGAACAGGAACCTGCTAAGGACACAGGTGACAGTGGAAAGGCTGTTCTGCCCTTTACTAGGGGAAGCCCCCTTGTCTCTAAGCAACCGTATGAAACTGGCCCAGGAGCCACAAGTAGGTTAAGATATTGGTCAGAGGATAAAGGGTAGGATGAACCTAGCACTTTGGTCGTCAGGAAAACTGGGTGTTACCATGGAGCTTCGTGGCAGCCAGCCAACTGGAAAGGTCTGAGGCTACTCTGAGACGCCTGCCTGGGTCTGGTGTGTGTGTGTGTGTGTGTGTGTGTGTGTGTGCGCGCGCGCGCGCGCACGCCCACGCATGCCTTGCTTCTCTCAGCCCTCCTGGTCTCCTCCTCTCCCCCACCTCTCTCTTCTGGCCTAGCCTGCCTCTTCCTTCCTTTACTTCTTTCATCTTTCCCCCACGAAGTGTTCACCCCGTTACAATCCCACATCCCTCATCCTCTCCTTTGCCCCCCTCTCTGATGTATTTCCTCGAAAATCAACTTTATACCCTTGCTTTTATCAGTTAAGAAACCTCTGCACTCAACTTTACTGCCCCTTTCCCCTTACCAGCTAGAATTCCCTCTTGCAGGGCCTCTCGTGTGCCCGTCCCTGGGGCAGGAGGCTGGGAGGCAGTAGAGAAAGCCACTAGTCTAACGTCTTCAATGGGCACCCGATCTGGGGAGATACCAGGCCCTCAGAACATGCTGGGCCATCCTGGGTCATAGGTGCACCACAGACCCAGCAGGGCAGTCGGGCGTGCAGTCCATCCTTTTACCCCCTTGCAAGTCATCTAGGACCGGAAATCTCCCGCTCTGTGGCAGCTTTATCCACCTTCTTAGTTAAGAAAATGTGCTTGAACCCAAGAATGAAGGGCCCCCTCCTGGGGACGTTTCCCAGAGACTCCCCATCCAAATGGCTTATGCGCCATTTGGGGCTTAAAGCTGCCGTGCAGCCCTCCCTAGGGGACGTGCCTTCATGTTGATGAGATTACACTCCAGATGATATGCATGTTTCCTCCTAAACACATACCGCTTTCTAAGCGAGGATGTGTGTTTTAGAAAATTTGTTTAGAATAATGCATTGGCAATGGCAGACGGTCTCTAGAATCAAGAAATTTGGGTTATTTCCAGGAATCCAAGGAAATTTTCTAGCACTTTAATCATCAGGGAAATTGGGTGTTACCACGTATTCCTAATGTCTACCTTCTTCTAACAAACGATCCCCGAAGCTCCCCCCTGCAGAGCCCCACACACATGGCAAGACCTCAGACCCTCTGGCGGCACTTTAGCTCCTCTGGCTGACAAGAAATAACAATCCTTATCATCATCAGGAAGCAGTTATCCTCCACTGAGCACATATCCTCTGCCTCACTAACATGTACTCACGTGCACACAAACCTCACCACACATTGCTGAAGCACCTGTCGCTGTACCCACTCTGCAGGCGGAGAAACTGAGGCTCAAAGAGGTTAAGTCACTCCTCCAAAGTCATACTACTTACAACTGGCAGGACCAGCTTGGACTCCAAGCCTTTGTTAGGACACAGCCTTTAGGTCCTGTCATCCTAGAGTGACACTGTGGAAGTCCCCAAGCATGAGATGCCACCTTCCAGAGAGAAGAGTCCTGGGAAACCCCCAGGGGTACACTTGGCCCCTTCTGAAGAGCGCGCCTTTTCAATACATGAAGATCCAAATTCCAGTTCATTACAAGGTGATTCTTCACTTTGAAGAATTCCTCGCACCCCCTCTTTAAATGAACCCTAGCACATTTTGAAAATAAAGCCCAATTTAGATGACATTTACTGAAGCTTTTCCGAAACAAAGGAATTCCCTGAACCACCATGTCCACATACATATAGTTCTGTGTAATAAAATAAAATGTATAAAAACAGCTGTCTATGACCTTAGACCAGGATGAACCAGAGATGCGCATCAAATGGGAGAATCCAGGTGAGGACCACACATATCCACATGCACACACAGCCACACACACACACACACACACACAAGCACACACCCAAGCACACACCCACACGCACTTACACGCATGTGCACAGGCATGTGGGTGTATATGCTCACCCATGCTATGTTCGCACACATATGCAGGCAGGCACACACCCAAGTCTCTAAACAAAATCACCTTGACCTGTAGTAGAGTATCAATGAGATGAAAATTAATTGAGACAAAACGCTGTGAGGCCAAAGCCCTGCAAAGTAGGGCCTCAACGAGAAGGAAGGAGGCTCCCCTCCTCGCTCAGTTCATCTCAGACCCTCTCTGGGCTTGTATTAGCAAAAGTGGTCATCAGGGTCTTCAGTCCACCTCCCAGCCTCCCCGCTTAGCCAAATTCTTAGGTGCTTAAAGGGAAGAGGTGGGTATTGACCCCAAATCCTTGCTGGGCAGAACATCCTAAGAGAACCTACTTTTTTCTCTTTCATTTTATTTTTCATTTTCTGTCTCTAACCTTAACACGTGAATGATACTAAAGTTTTGATGCCTGTTTTTTTTTCCCCCCCTTGGACTAAACCATTATTTACAGGGGGAGAGGGGGAAGAAAGGCTCTAGAGGGCCTAAAGGGGATAAAGGAGACCAAGGAGCACCTGGATTAGATGCCCCCTGCCCGTTGGTATGTTTTCATTTCTCATTTGCATTGTTCTGGTTTTTTCCTTGAGGTTTGCAAGTTGGAAACAAAGAAGGCAAATCAACTAAGATGAGAACCAAATGATTACCCTGATGCTACCAAAGTCTGTCTGCTCATTGGAAATTCTGCCAGCTGTGGGTGTTGCCTTCCAACCCCAGCTGCAAACAATTATGGCTTGATCCCTTTCCTTTGAATCCTTTTTCTTTGAAGATGCAGAACAATTGATGCATGGAAGTGAAGAAACCACGAGGAAAGAGGGCTTTTTGGAGAAGGCCTCGGCACTTGGCTCCAGCCTGGCTTTGGAAACCAGTGCAGCATTTGTGAGCCATGATTTGCCTTCTTTGTCTTGTGGCCGCTTCTGTGGCCAGCAGTTCTAGGTGTCTCAATCCTCACTTGGTCAAGATGCAGGATGCCAGAGTAGAATCTCTTGAAGGCCACCAATGCTTAGTGCTGGGCAGAACAAGGCCACACAAAGGGCTTTTCATACACAGCCTCGAAATGCCCACCAGCCGGCCAAAACCCTGAAAGCTGCAGGCCAAAATCGGTAGGAAAACACCCACAGGAAGCTTTCCCAAAAGAGCCAGTACCTAATGATTTGTGGCACATCTGACAGGTTTCTCAAGTTCCCTTTCAATCCATCCAAAGGTTCTGAAAGCTATGACGCATTGAAGTGAAGGTTACCTGTGATTGCTCCCCGTGAATCTGTAAACAGAGAGGGGGTCAGTGCAGAGCGGCTAGCTGTATGTGTCCCCTAGCTGAACTCTGCTGGCACAAAGGCTGAATGTGGGACATGGGGAACCCAACTGCAACTTAGGCTTATTTGTAGGTGTCAAGTGTAGGATGCCGAGGGTCCTGCATCCTGGCCAGGTTAGGACTGGGCCTCTCCACTCCACAGTTGGAGCTGGCCACCCTTGATCTAAATAATCATCGTGGTTGATTTTATAAACAGGGACATCGAGGTTTTAAAGGAGAGAAAGGGGAGCCGGGGTTACCAGGGCTGGACGGACTGGATGCCCCATGCCCATTGGTATGGCATTGCCTTGCCTGCATGCATGCCCGAACTGGGCTTGCCATGTGTGTGGTTTAGGCCCATGTGCTTCCTGATCCATCCACCCAGTCCCCATTTCCCACTTCTTCACTCTGCAGACATGGAGGGTCACCCTGCCTTGCGCTCTGAGGGCTCCGGCATGCTGCTCTCTTGCATGCAAAGTTTGCTGGAGTGTTTTCTTGGCTTCCTCCTGCCACTGCTTCTGACACACCTGACCTTGGTTTCCCAGCCCCCAAGCAAGCTTTGACTGCTTCTGATCTTTCTAGACACCTCTGCCCCCAGAGATAAACTAGGGAAGCACATTCTCTGGTCAGATTCTTAGAAGCATGATTTCTTGTCCTCCATGCCATGCGGTTAGGGCAGAATGCATCCACTAAACCCTTAACACGCCAGTGGAATGAATGCCTGAGTCATCCCACCTCCCTCCCCACCATCTCACAGTTTGGCTGGGGACAGATAGATGGGCATGTTCTAGACATAGGGTAAACTAAGGAGTACTAGAACCAAGGTGAAAAAGGAAGTACCCTGCCTGTTCTTCCACACTGGGTCCTGGTTCACTGCCCAGGCGACACCATTAAAACTAGGGGACAGTCGAAAGCCAGGTGTTGAGATCCTAAAGGGCCTTGTTCTCCTTGCTTAAATCCCAGAAGACATTACAGGACCCTCGCTTGATGTCCCTTCTCTGCATCCTCAGGTGGCTCACCACACAAGAGTCAGAGGGCTGGAAAGGTGGTAAACATAGTTAAGGAGCAGGCAAGGATGGCTCTTGTAGACATGCCGTAGGCTAAGAGGTATCAGTTGGTCCCCACCTGGTCCAATCCCTCTCCAGGTGTGGCTGCTCTAAACCTCCTCATGATCCTCTTAAACAACTGCAAGAGAAGCAGAAGGTGACACTTTGCTCCAAGGGGACCGGTTCCAAGGCTCCTGCTCACCCAGTATTTCCCCAGAAGGATGAGGGTTCAGGAACTACTTTTGTACCAAAGTTCCCAGCCTCACTCTGGGGTGACTCAAGAATTAAATGGGAGAGAAAATGTGGGTGACCGTAGAGCCCCTTGAAAGCCACTAGGGACTTTGTAGCCCCAGCATGTGTGACAAAAGCAGCACGGGACAAGTGTACAGAGGAGCATGCCTCCTACCCCACTGGCTGCCCGTGACCGACCATGCACCTGCACAAGCACCCTTCCCAGCCGCAGGTACCAGGGCGCCTGTCTCCATGAATCCCCACAGGTCTTCCTGGGCCACCGTCCTTGCCCTCCTTTGAGCACCCTAAGTTCTGTGCCACCACCTCAGCCCCCCTGCTCCTCACCCCATGTTACTTTCCCTTCTCTGCCTGCCCCGCCTCCACTGCGCCTGCCACCAATGGGAATGCCCTGAGGCTCCTGTCCCTCCCAGAGACTATGTAGACTGTGTCACAGCAGAGCAGGCTGGGAAGAGGGCAGAGGGTCACCAGGAGACTGTGGGATGCACCACCTCCCTGTGCAGTCCCTTCCCTGGCCCAGGGGGGAAATGAAGGTCATCCCTTCGTCCAAAGTGACCTTTCCTCCAACAGGATCCCATAGCAATGTGTCATTTGCCTATTAATTTTCAATGGCAGGGCCCATAGCTTACCTTTCTTGTGTCTCATTCCACCTCGTGCATTGTATTCCTATGAACTTGGGGGTCAGGGGAACTACTGATCATGACTTTTAGTACAAGAGAACTCGACCTCTTCCACCCTCGTGTCAGCCCTGCACCTGCTGAATACCAGGTGACGAGGGGGTCAGGTGCCTGGTGTGGGTGGTGAAGTTGGTCTGGGCCACAGAGGATGCCTGGTCGGCCTCCCTCCCCTGAGGACTGAGCACTTGCTCCTCCTCTGAGCCCCTAGGTCTTCTCTGCCTCTGCCCTGGGGCCTGCAGTTCTGGGATCTGGCTGCCTTGCTAGTAGATGGGACTAAGAACCTGAGCTCCGCCCTTGGTTCAGCCTTGCCGCTAGGCCATTTCTAGGCTCCCCGCAGTGTGCCAGAGAGGCCAGGAGAGTAGGGTCAAGAAGACACAGGAAGGTTCCATCGCCACGGGCAGAACATCCCAAGGCTACAGGATGCTCTGTGGTTGCCATAAACCATGTGTAGTTGTTCCCCACCTTGCTCCTCTGCCCCCAAATTCCCAGCAATGTCTGAGGCCTGGCCAGACCCTTGTCTCCTTGCTGACAGCAACCCTGGGTCATATTCCAACCACTGAGTTCCTGTCACTTTGTCCCAAGCCCCACCCAGTATTGACCATCACTGGGGCTGTCTAGATGTCCTCTTCCCATGCTTAGGAAGAGAGACAAGTGAGGGATCAGGCCAGCTGAGAAGGTCACTGCACATCTCCCTCTGCTCAGATTTTGCAGCAGAAGAAATGGAGCCCCAAGTGCTGGGTGACAAGCATCCAGCACTCCACAGAGCAGCAAGTGTCCTCTCTTGCCCTCCAAGACATCTGTGCTCACTAATCCTGCAGGCCAGGACAGCCCCTCTTGGCCTTGCACCACAGCCACATGGGACCTTAGCTGAGGGGGAAACAGCAGCATCTGTTTCCCACCCCCTTCCAAGGTTTTGACCTGAAAGAGAGAAAAGAAATAGCCAGTGGCGGGTGGGCCGATCCTGATGAGCGGCTGAAGTGTTTGTGGCCCTTGTCAACCCTGCCCTGCCTGCTTGGTGGATCAAGCCAAGAGTCTGAGTGCTCTGCCTCCCTTCCTCCCCACAGGGTCAAGATGGCCTGCCAGTCCAGGGCTGCTGGAACAAGGTAAGCTCCTCTGAGCCCGTGCTGCTCAGGCAGAGGAGGACACCCCTCCCTGACCAGTGCCATGTGACTCTCACAGCATCTCCTCTGTCTTCCTGCTGATGAGGCAGCAAAACATAGGTTGGAAAAGGCACTTTTCCTTCAGAGGCAAGTGCCCAGTGAACAGCCCAGGCCCAGTGCACACTTGGAAAACACTTAAAAATGTAGGTAGTGCCTGTCCTCCAAGGAGTTTGAGGCCATGTTTTAAACTAAGTTATCAATTAGCCACTCTCATAGCATTCAGATGAAGCCATTTAAGCCACATATTTATCCAGATGGAGGATACCCACACTATTTACACTCTAAACTCAAATGGCTTTTTTTTTTCAGTAACAGGGATTGAATCCAGGGCCTTTGCACTAAGCTACATCCCCAGCTTCTTTCCTTTTTCTTTTGATACAGATTCTTGCTGAGTTGCTAAGTTGCCCAGGCTGGGCTCAAACTTGCAGTTCCCTGCCTCAGCTGGGATCACAGGTGTGCACCACCACCTCTGGCTGTCACGTGGCTTCTATACCTGCTCGCAGGGCTTGTCCAGTTCCCCGTCACACACTTCCCCTGGACCTCACCCATGGGCCCTTGTGTTTGTGCACATGCCACCTACAGCCCAGTCTCTCCTGGGCTCCCAGAGTTCTGGCCAGCAATGAGATTTTGCTGATTTACTTCCGCCTTGACATTTGCCACCATTAAAGCAGTCTGAAGCCACAAGGCCAAGTCTTTCCACAAGACCACCCCACTCAGACATAGCACCCTTAGTGCAGGGTTCCCCACCCTGTGCCATGGGCTTGCTAATTCAGAATCCCACCTTCCGGGCTGCCTCCCTTTGCCTTGCCTCCTGCGCAGGGTCTTCTCACCAACATTATCTCAGGTTATCACTGTGTCCTCCTAAAATGCTGGAGACTCCAACCTGCTCCAGGTTTGTGCTTATCTAGTCCAGTCCTGTGGCAGTGACAGCAGAGCCACTTTTACAGTCTCATTAGCCCACAGGACTGGGTGAAAGTAGGGAAGTGACCAGGACACCCGGCCCTAGGTCGAGCACCTATATGTCTGGGTAACTAAAAGACCCCCTAACCAAAGAGAGAATGCTCAGCACTCAATGGAGCTACCTCCTCAAGAATGTGCCTCTCGCTCCACACCTCATTTCCTTATTCAGTTACCTGCAAGACCTAGGTAATCCTCCACATTGTCCAGGGACACAGGCCCTTGCCCTCGAGAGAGAATTTCTTCCTCCAGGTTGCTGCTGATGGTCAAAAGATAAAAATATCCCTGAGCTTAGCAAGGGAACAGCAGCCGCTATTCAGAGAAACAGTTTTGGGGAAGCAACTAGAGAGCTTTCCGTTTGATCCACACCCACTGAGTTCCATCTGGGACCACTCCGAAGCAGCCAGGCCTCCAAGACAGAATACAGAGAGTGCCCTCTAGTGGCCATTATGCGGGTCACTGGAAGGTGAAAGGAATTTCCCACCCTCAGGGTGCTTAAAGTCCGCAGGAGTTTCTTCCTGCCAGTGGGGCTCCGGATTCGCCAGTGCTCTTATTTAGAGTAGCCATCCAACCCAGGATAGGCTCCTCCTCCTTGCCTACAGGGAAGTAAGAGTCCACAGACCCCCCTTGAAACTAACTGTACATTGTTTTGTTTTTGTTTTGCAGTGATTCCTCTAACCTTGGATTGGCCTGTGTGTGTGTTTATACATAGAATATTTATTTTTATACAGTTTTCACTATTTGAAAATGCCAGAAGTATGATGCATCTTACAGATTATTAAAAGAAAGAGAAAAACTTGCATATTTTGTACAGAAAATAACACCTCTCCCCTTTTGTTTACAAGATGTTTTGTATAAGTCTGTCTCTAATACACTTTCTGTTTGTGAGTACAGTCCTAATGTTTGCATGATATTTGTGCACAGTTATTACATATAGAAGCTTAATAAATTATTGTGTTCCGGTGCCAAAGAGGGCAGCCAGCACCAAGGTGCGGCTAGCTGGTGTGCGAATTCCTATAAACATGGAGGTGGGGGGTGACTAACAGTCTAGATGTATCTAAGAATAATTTTAAACAATTCTGGATTTTCATTATTAAAAAATGAAACATGACAATTCACGATCCTGATTAATCACTAACTAAACTAAACATTCTTTCTAGTGCAACCAGGAAGGCCCAGAAGCAGGGGTCCTCAAAGTATGGAGAGACATTTTAAAATGTTAAATCCAAATCGAGGTGTACTGTTTTCCATTCATAGCACACCGCTTACCATAGTGAAGGAGTCAGAAAGCCTATTTCAATGACTAGGAAGTATTGCTATGGTGTTGCCCACAGTTTATTGTTAGCTGCTTTACAACATCAATCAGTGCTTCTAAAGGGCTTGAAAACAGCTAACCCAGAAGTCTAAATCCCCCCATCCTGTTGATAGTTTACATTTTCTTTACACATACTTTCTTCATAATCAGCACATGGGAAATTTGAACTCAGCTTCTGTCCATACCCAGATGGACAGGGCTAAAATAGAGGACCAGAGAGCCTGCCTGGCATGGAGAGAGCCCACGTGAACTCTTGCTGCCGAGACTCAAGGGGCTGTCCCAGAATTCTGATTCTCAGAGTCCACTCAGTTATTCTGGAAATCAGACCACTTCCTCCTCCAGGTCTCGGCTTCCTGATTTGAAAAGTGAAGCCATTAAACTAGAGTTAATCTCTATGGACACAAATGGTGCTTGTCTGTCCCCTCCTCACAAAGCACAAAAATGCAGCCACCCAGGCCTAAGTCCCCAGCTGGCACCAGGTGCTTCCCCTGCCCAGGGAGAGTTCCAGGATGCACTTTACAGATCACCCTGAGACCAGACTCCCAGGACCCATGCTGGGCAGCTTTCCCATCAGGCATGGTGGCCACAGAGGCTGGATCCATTGTACTCTTAGGGGCCACAAAATATTTTAATTTTCAGTGCTTTTAGATTCAGAAGGAAAAAAGAGAGTATCTAACAATGAATCCAGCCAGGAACATACTTGCCTTTCTACCAGCAGTTATCAAATGCAATTTTAATACATGTTTTGTGGAGGAAGGAACCCACAAAGGCCAAGCGCCCAGGCCCCCCGAAAGTCACAACGCCACCTGCCTGTGTGCTGTGCCCCTTTGGATTCAGCCTACCCTGTGGGTGACCCATCTCCAGAGCCAGCCTCCTCACCCAGGAGAGGCCCTGTGAAATCAGTGTGACCAGGTTCTTCTGAACCCACTGCCTTATTCCCTTTCGGGCTCTGGGTGGAGCCATCACCCATCATTGATCATCTCAGAATCGAGTGGAACATTGACAGGAACCCCTGAACCAGGATTCTGAATTAATTGAATCCTCCAAGTGACCGTGGGCAACCACAGACCTCTCCTTCCTTGATTTGGTTCTGGTTCCTTCCTTCACTTATTACACCCCAGCCATCACCACAAAGTCACCTGTACGAATAGCTGCAATCCAGGGGTAGAGGTGCATGCCCTGTAATCCTGGCACTCTGGAAGGCTGAGGCAGGAGGATCACAAGGTCAAGCCCAGCCTGAGCAATTTAGCAACTTAGTGAGGCCCTGTCTCAAAATTAAAAATAAAAAACAGGCTGGGGTTGTAACTTAGGACAAAGGCCGCGCTTCCATCTCAGTACTGCCCCCCAAAAAGCAAGAAAATAGAAGTGTGAGGAGACAGCAGTGGCAGGGGAGCCTGCAGAGTAAGGGGAGACCCTCATCATTACTGAGGCGGCCCCGCGTGCCACTGCAGGCCACCATCACCCAGTGGCTTGCAGCCCACTGAGGTCTGGCCCTCTGTACATACGACATCATCCCCAGGTGGTGGTTGCCCCATCTCCCTCAGACAGGACCCTCCCTATCTGTCACAGGTAGTGAGCTGCACCCAGACTCCTCCTTCAGCCCCCTCCCCTATGGTAGACTTCTCATCTTGGATCTTAACTCTATGTCACATGCAGTGCAGGGAAGTTAGGGTAGAAAGGGAGCCAGGCCTGATGGTGCACTCCTAATTCAAGGCCAGCTTGAGGTACATAGTGAGTTCGAGGCTACATAGGAAGATTTAACTACATAGGAAGAGGTTGAGAAGTATTCAGAGTAGCTGGGCATCACCCTCCTGCCCAGGGCTAACCCCGATCTCCCACCTTGGCAAGGTCACCTTCTGCCACCACCTTAGCCCTCAGGGAAAAGGGTGCTGTCCAGCCAGTCCAGAGACTCACTCAGGTTCCTTGTCTCCCCTAACCAGCCACCTGGCCCGGGGCATCTCAGTTCAGGTTTGTTCCTCCGTGTCAGATGCAGCAGTTAGACCTGGCTGACCTCCATGGGCCCCGCCAGCTCTGCCACCACCAACGGGTTGGCTGCCGGAGGACCATGGACATCGAAGCATCCTATGTCCCCTCCACCCGAGTCACCTGCCTGTGATCACACTGACCATGGACATGGGGTTGCAGAACTGTGTGCAGCATGCGTGTGCTTATAACCCTGAATAACCAAACCCCCATGGGCCTGTGCCACATGGGAGGCAAGGGAATGAGGTCTGCTTCCCTGAGAGGATGGCGGTGCAGGCTGTGTCTCACCTGGGTCTCCACCCCGAGAGCTTATGGGAGGGTGAGCAACGAAGCTTTGACCCCTGGGCTTCCCACATGTTCAGCCACACTGGCTGCTTGGCAGGATCTGCCACTTCTCTCCTATCAGGAACAGCCTGCACTTCGGTGGTCCTGGACTAGGACTCACTGTCAGGCCGCCTGAGACACAGAGCCCCTGAGATTCCATAACATTTAGACAGAAGAGAAGGGCAAGCTCTGGGTGACAGGTTCAGAGAAGTCAGGGACCAGAGGGGGAGGCAAAGGAGGAGCCAGCCTTCACTTCTGCAGGAAGCAGAGACTTCCGGGCCAAAGCTGCCTCTCAGCACAGGGGAGGGGAGGACGCCACCCTAGGAAGGGACACTGCTCCAGGCACTCAGGCAGAATTCCATGTTCAGAGGACCCTCTGCTTCTAGGGCAGCCCGGGCCTGAGCCACAGCCTGGCCCCTGCAGAAGAAAGACACAGATGGAGGCAGGCTGGGCTGAGAACGTGGCCCTCAGCCCCGGGGGTGCCCCCATTTTAGGGCCTGCACCCACCTCCCCCCACTACACACACACACACACACACACACACACACACACACACCCTGTGCTCTCCCTGCCCCACACCTGCCTCTGGATTGCCTTCTTCCTTCTGTCAACCTTCCACCCTTCTTTCAGGCCCCAGCTAGGCCCTGGGAAAATGCTTCTGGTCCCCGAGTTGGATGAGTCTCCCTGGAACTCAGGCTTCTTCTCTTCCTCTGCCTTGCAATAGAGGGAGGAGGCACCTCCTGATTAGGTGAACCCAAGACGGCAGGAGTTTCCTTATTTACAGGCTCCTGAGGGGCTGGCTCAATGTCTCCCCCTAGTCAGGGCTCCTCCACACCTATGACTGCTGAGTTATTGACCAGCCTTATAACATACCTACTATGTGCAGGTTCTGTGCTTCCTGCAGGACAAGCAGGAGGCTGGGGGGTCAGTCCTGCCCTCTAGGGCTGAACAATACAGGGAGCTGTGTGCTAAGCGCTCGGTGAGGACCACAGCCAGGGTCTTGAGGACAGAGGACACTGTGGTGGGCAGCAGGAGAAGAGAGGATCAAGTCAGCTGGGAATGGAAAGTGGCCTCCTTGGCTCCTGCTCCTCTCTCTGTTAGAATCTTGCAGCAGGATGAGCCTGGGCCATGTTATCATCTCAGATCTGGGGAGGACACCTAGGAAGAGAGGGCAGGTCCCAACTGAGGGGGTTGGGTCAGGGGATCTCTGGTCCCTAGACTGCTCCATAATGGGCCAGTCTCCAGAAAGCCTCCTTCTCAAACACGCCCTCTCTACACCTCCTCAAGGGCCAGAGTCCTTGGTTGGTCGCCAAGAAGTGAAGCCAGCCAGCCCAGAGCCTTGGGGAATGCAGCTTGCCTGGGAGGAAGAAGATGGAGGAGCTGCCTCTGGACAGAAGGTCATTGGCCGAACCTTCCCAAGGACCTGATTGGAGGAGCTGGTCAGAGTGTGGCCACAGAAGAGCTGGGCCTCCGCCCTCCCCAGGGGCTAGCATGCAGACAGGCTAGCCCAGACCTCACACCTGCTTGGGCCTTTGGGGATTTCTGGGGGTTTCTACTGTGGCTGTGATTTCAGGGGCTCTTGGACTCCCCTTTCTGGTGGGAACCATGGTTTTTTGAAGCCACACCCCTGCAGGAGGGACTATCCACAGCGTCAAGCCCTGACCTTGAGAAGCCTCCCTAGGAAGCAGTGGCCAGAGACTTGTCACCTTTCCCAGCCCCTTCTCAACAGAAGTCCTTTTCTTTCTATCCTTTGGTGCTGCCACCATTAACCATTTGACTTTCTGGGGTTTTGGGAATGTCAGAGGCAGATGCAAGTACCAAGCCTGACATACAGAAAGCATTCACCTTGGAAAGGGAAAAAGCACAAAAAATGCAATGCTATCATAGAGGAGAGAAGCTGGGTGTTGACAAGGCTATGCAATCACACTTCTAACCTGGCACCCTGGGAAGCCCCAGCCACTGCTGAATATGAGGGGATGGAAGATGGCGGAGCCAGGTGGACATTGTGTGGAGGACAAAGGTGACAGCCCCTGTTCTCACCTCCCCTCCCCTCTGGCAGGGAGGTGAGACTGGAGCACAAAGAACCTCACCTCAGAAGGGAGGGAGGGCCAGAGGCCCAACACAAAGGGCTATGGCTGCAGAGGATGGAGAGATCTCCCTGCATCTCAAAGGAATCTCTCCCAGGACTGCTCCAAGATGAAAATGCAGGGTCACCATAGCAATCTGGGAATCGATTTAAATTCTGGGGTTTTGACTTTAAACCCACACTGACATCTTTTCTCAGCCCTGGAAGGTTAAAGAAAATGCCCTAGAACAAGTTTGGTGCTTTCCCCATTCCTAGCATCTGA